TTTGGTCAAATATTCAGAAGATATACCTAATAGGGATACTTTTGTTTACCGGAGATGGATTGAGATCCGGGAAGTGATCACCGACAAATCGACAAAAAATGGTATGAGTTAGATATGCGCATTAATCGTGCTTAGATATGTATTTTCGCTGCAGACTTGCGGGCTACAAGCTATAGAAGTATGACTCTCAATGAGTCAATGTTTTCTTCGCCGGTTATAATACTATAGTCAATGGGGAGTGCTACAGAGTCATGATTAATGACTTTTTCAAGCCTGAATTGGAGGATATTAATGTGAACGATTTATGGATCCAAAAAGACGGCACGTTATGCCTGCAAAATATAATAGATCTAGTAAAAATGAATACTATATTTTAGCAACAGATGATTTCAGTGATCCGTATCTCGCTGGATGACCTTAGATGACGTCAGAAAGATGATATTTTGTACTAAAAAAGATCATGGAAAAAATGTTGAATTCTGTGCTCGGTAGTACTTGAACGCATGTCAAAAAAGTGAGAAAAACTAATATATTCCACAATCCTTCTTCGTATTTATGATTCTGATAATGGAACTGACAATGCTAAATTTGGTTTCGTCACTTTTGTTCCGGTAATTTTGATATAAAAGATGCTCCCCGGTGTGAAAGGCCAATTGTTGAAAATGTTAATAAAATGATGAGAACCGTCGAATCCGAGCATTTTTTCGAGCATTTTTTCGATTGCTCAGGAGCTAAGCATCTTTAAAAAAACAGTTTGGAATCACTTGAAAAAAGATGGATACACAAAAACGCTCGATGAATGGTTGGCCATAAGAGTTAAAAAGAAACAATTGTATGTACCGTAATCCCATCTCCGAATCGTAAGAAAATCGACTCATTTCTGAAGCGGATGGTGACTGGTGATGAAAAGTGTATCCCTTATAGTAACTTCAAACGAAATCAATTGTGCTCGAAGGTTAGTAAATCGGCATATACTATCTCATAGCAAAGGATTGATGGCCTGAAGGCTTTGGTTGTATGTTTGGTGGGCTTAGAATGGAATCATCGCTTATGAGCTGCTGCTCTACGGCCAAACTATTCACCTCTCTGACGAAAGCAATCGCCCAGAAGCGCCCAAAGTTGGCGAACAGCAGACAAGTTGCGTTTCATCAGAACAACGCCAGACCATACACATGGTTAGTGACTTGCCAGAAGCTTCGAAAGCCTACTAGAGAAGTTCTTATGCTTCCACCTTATCACTTGCGCCTCGTACATCGTACCATCTGTTTCTTGTCTATGACGATCGTTTTGGCTGGTAAAGCATTTGTCTTAAAAAAAGTTTGGGAATATCGAGTGTCCTCATTTTTAGTCCATATGACACAAGGGTTGCTATGATATAAATTTATATGGATAATTGGTGCATTGCAATCGCTGAAGCGATTTTCCGTCCAACTCTTCCTACAATTTGGGGTGTGCGTCTTAAAACTTTTCCCACAGAATCGAGGGACTTAAAAGCCCTTCTAAGCCGCCTTCGCAAGGCTGATGGTTTTTAATGAGGAGCTTTTTATTTAACGACCAGAATATAAAAAATAATTTTTTTATAAATTGTAGATGTTGATCGGATCAGTACACGAATCTATGACCATCTGAGGGCCTACGCGCACTGTTAACCAAAAAAAATATAAATTTTAGGAACGAAATTGAATGTACTCGTACATACTCTTTTGACAATCACCAGAGAGGAGAGCAAAATTAATAAAAGATGAATGTTTTATAGTTGCGAAATTTCGAAGTTCACAATATGATTAACATAAATGTAATTTTTTTTTACATACATTTATATGTATAAACAACGAAAAGCCTGAGCTGAAGTAAACATACTTAACTTAAAGAAATGTAACACTTTCATATTCTTTTGTTTTTGGTTTTATCTGAAAGGAAGAGTGTAATGCAAGCAACGACTAAGAGAGCAACAGACAACACTTGGACCTAACAGCACCCAGTGAAGTACATAACGCACGCATTACAAGCTAAGAATTATAGAATAGCGTAGACTGGATTACATTTATATGCATATAAATATATATATTATATAGTAGATAAAAGCATGTATTTATGTTTATGTATTTATATAAAATTATACGCAACTTAAGTATTCCGGAAATATAATATATGTAATTATGTATGATACGCTACTAACCGTAAGCCTTTATATACGAGTATGTACATATGTATAAGTATTAATATCTCTTATTCATTTGTACTAAGTAAGAAAACAGTAAATTATCTACCACACTTCTCTGTACTGATTACGCGAAGTTCGACTTAGTCTGTTGCCTGCTGAAGTAGAAGAAGAAGGAGAAGAATTAAAAAATGAGGAAAATAATCTAGTGCAATATTGCTATAAAGTGACCTAATTTTTCTTCATTCATTCATCAGCAGCTCTTTTACTTAAGCCCTAGACATTTTATTTTCAGTTGCTTTAACCGTTTTCCATTGTTCCATTTCTACATACAATCATATCTATGCACTTATATACTTATATATCATATGCATATTTATGTGTTTCTAATTTGTTTGTGCATATATGTACATATGTAGTAAATATCTATTGTAGTTTTCACTTCATAACTTGTAATCAAAGTTTACAAAAGGGATATGGAAAAGATTTTCATCGAAGGAGTCCATAGTGGTACACCTTAATGAAAGAATGAATTAACCAATTTATTTCAAATATGCACCGTTTTATTCGAAAACTGTGCACCATTTTGTAGGTAATATCATAATGCTTCTCCCTTAGCAACCCTTCGCTTGCCCATATTGGCCAAAAATTGAAACAATCGATTTTTACAGACTTCTCTTGAGCACAATGATTCACCGGCGTAGTCATTCGCCATATACAGAAACAGATGGCATTCACTTGGCGCAAGATACGGACAATAAGATGGGTGCAGAAGCATCTAACAATTAAGCTCTTGAAGCTACTGACGAGTCACTACCGATGTGTGTGGTCTGGCGTGGGGTTGGTTGGGAAGAGAGTTCCCCTCCTAGTAGCTAAAGCTGGGCGTCTTTGGTCTGATTGTTTCCTACAGACGGTTCAATTGCTTACAGTACAGTTTCGTATTAAGATTCCGGACGTAAGGTGAATTCAATACCACCAAACCCACAACAAAGCCTTACTGGCAGTCAATACGGGCTTGTAGACCGTCTGTGCCTGAGCACAATTGATTTCGTTTGAAGTTACTGTAAGGGATACACTTTTCATCACCAGTCAACCTCCGTTTCAGAGATGGATCGGTTTTGTTATGATTCAAAAGCGTTTCGTTAACTCATGTGGCAACCATACATCAAACTTCTTGCTTGCACGACGGGCAGACTCGATGTTTTATAATATTTTATCGATATTTTCGAATATTGATTATCCAAACCGTGCATCTTTAGAATATGATGTTATTTCTCTCTGCTGAAGTACATCTTTGAAATGAGCTCAAGCGATCGATAGATAATTCGAAAGAAACACGTATCGTTCACGTTTGTAAATCTGCCAAACGAATTACTCCCGCATTCCCGAACATTCTCTGCATTATTCATACAGTTTTGTTTTAGATAATTTAACATTCTAGAAACAGATATTAAATTGGAAACAAAAACAGTAAAATGGTATGGAATGAGGTACACGGTAGGAGTAGAGTGGTCAGCATGCAAAGCTTCATTGATTCAAATTCTCAAAATTATAGAAAATTTATAAATGCAATCGAACCCCGGCAGGGTATACCAAAAGCTCTATCAGAGAGGAGACACCTTACTTGACAACTGACTTAAACAGACTCATTTTAATTTCAATATGATGTTTTAAGCTGCAGTTTTATAAGAAGGTGGACGACACCGTTAAAGCAATTACCTTTACTAAACAGTACTTATATTGTAAAATTTCTCTGACTTTTACCCAAACAGTAGCCTGCATTTACGTGCGTAATAATGAACCAACTCCATAGCCTGCGCTTAGAAATATTGCTTCCAAGTGAGAGCAAAAACAACTCTCAGAACAGAGCATGACATTTCTTTTTACTACAATACATGTGTGATCTCGCTCAATAGGAAACTCTGATCTATACACCTCTATGTGCAAGTTATACAAGTATAAATACTCCTATATTAAAGTTTTTGAAGAAATTTAGAGATTTTTCCTTTAATTTTTATTTTTTCTTTTTTTTTTTTTTTGAAATGAGAACGGCTAAACCGATTTGGCTAAGCTTTTTTCGATTATTCCAATTATTCATATTTAATAATAAAAAAGTTTTCATGTAAGAAATTTTAAATTTTTTCCGGGAAGTGGACTGGGGACCGTTTTATACAAGAAAATCGTATTTATGATTGGATTCACTTGAAATTTTAATGAAATTTAAGCGCAGAAAATAGTGCTGGAAATTCTTATTTACGATTCGACATGTGACTAGTGGACCCGACACCGATCTATTCGGAAAATTTTAAATTTTTGTTCGGTTGGTTCGGAACTTTGCATGCCTGTAAAGACTTTGTTATTATCAGGTGTTAGTGGTCTACTTGGCTCATGTCGAAAGCCCAGGGCTGGAGTCATGGTTCGTGCTATATCCAAAATTGTAGAAAATTAATTTTCCCGATTGCGGTCGTCCCATGACAGGGAATGTCAAGCTCATCAAGTGTACCTCTGACATGAAATAAAAGTTCCTCAATCGCAGTTGGCTTAGAATAAACTGTAGGATTGGAGGAGGAGCTCGGCCGAAAGTCGCTTCAGCGGTTACAAAGCGCCAATTATATATATAGATATATTAGATATATAAGCATATATATTTAGATAATATTTATATATAATTTTATATGTTATATATATATATATATATATATATATTTATATATATATATATATATATATATATATATACATCAATTATATTTTTTATAGAATATAGTTTTTTCCCCTTTTTCCGCTAACGGCGATACTACAACAAGTGTTTTCTTAACTTTAGAATTTCACTACTTACCTTAGCATCAGCGAAACTGTAATCATTACGCACAAAGGCGATTAGATAAACAGCGAATATCAGCGTCCAAAAGTAGGTGTGTACACTTCGCCTCTGGGCATTTGCTCCCAAGAGACCGAGTAGGCCTCTGGGCACCATCATCATTGAAATGCTACGTTTAAATGTTTATAAATCACCACAAATCCACAATTGCCAAGCCACTGTGCTACACCGTTAAGGCAATTACCTTTACTAAACAGTACTTATGTATATCGTTAAGTTTCTTTGAATTTTACACGCAGTTCATTTGATGTTTTGAAATATTAAATTTGTCCTGCAGCACTGCACTACAATTATTGGGATTTCAAGTTGATTTATCTGTCCATTGGTCGGTAGGTAACTTTTTGCACGACTCTCAATTTGACAATTTTGATGCGTGTGTTTTTTTTTGTATTTATATTTGAATTAAATGCTTAAAAACCGTTTTTAAATAATTTGTTTTATTTGAAACTAAAACGAAAGCTACACTACTATGTCTACGACAACGGAATGAATGGAGGCGCACACAACGTTGTTGCCGTTGGGCGGCGTTGCATCCAGTCGCTGCGATCTGCTAAAAATCTATCTCGATGATCGGTCGTCGAGCACTCTCCCCACATGGAGACCGACAAGCGTTCGAAGTGGTACTAAACACGCGGCAACCAGTGGATTTTCATGCTGCTCCAAAATTCGTGTACGCGGGAGCAAAATACCGCACACCAACACACATGCAGGGCGCCATCACACTGCATTGGTAGTAGTGTGTGCGCGTCTAAGCTCTCTCAGCAACGCACTGCGTTGTTGCTTAAGCGTATGTGATCGCGAGCACAGCACAGCAAGCCGAATCAAGTAGACCGTGCGCGTCTGTATAAGTGTGTTGCTTGCCTTTGTATTGGTACGGAACGATTTGTTTGTTTGTTTGCTGCTTGTGTATGTGTGTGAGTGATTGTATAAAAAAATATTTAGGATTTTAGATCGGACGTGCTCGCCTCATTCGATTGCCTTGAAGCACGGAAATCATGAAATGGTTCTAGTAAACTTATGTAGTTACCAAGATTTGCTTTGAAGCTTACTTAGTTGCGATGCTGCAAATCTTTGCCCTTCTCACTACTGAGCCGGAGGAATTGATTATTACAAAACTTAGCAATAAAGTTTCTTCCGAGATTATTTGAAGGTTTTCAAATGTGCTTACTGATAAGGCGGATGTTGCTGCGTATTTCCGTTCACAACAAATCTCTGCGAAATTGTGTCGCGGGATAGATACCATTAATGTAAATAAAAATAGAAAATATACATATGACTATCTATCTCATTACAATACATACATATATACATATATTACACAGATCTATGTATGTATCCAGAAACTGTGTTTTCGTGTAATCTACATTACATGAAAAGCAGCTCCAATGAAAAAATCAAAAATGTCTCGGCTGAGAGACACTCCTTTTGACGATGGCCCTCGCAAATGTTCTAAGGATTATGTTTTGAGAGCATGCACCTGGCATGTTCGCTCCCTTAATTGTAGATGTCCAAATGAAATTAAAGGCTGACATCACCGCCATCCAAGAAGTGTGATGGACGGGTCAAGAACGGACGAAGGTGGGTTTTTGTGAAATATACTACAGCGGTTATAGGAAGTAGCGAAATTTGGTGTCGGATTTTTGATGGAAGAACGACTCCATCGCAGAGTACTGGCATTCAATACGATGGATGAACGTCTCGCCACAATCCGCATCAAAGCAAAACAAATTTTAACATATTGCTAATTTTCGCCCATGCTCCGATGGAAGAGAAGAGCGATGTGACCAAGGATGCGTTTTACGAGCGCCTCGCACATACTTATGAAGGCCGCACCGACACGATGTGAAGATTGTGATTTACGACTTCAACACAAGGGTAAGCAAAGAAGTGTCTTCCGCACAACGGTTGGAAAATTCAGCCACCACGACGAAACATCCCCAAATGGGTTAAGGCTGATCGACTGCGCCGGAGCTCGAAATATGGTTGTCAGTAGTTCTAGATTCCAGCACAAAAAAGTTCATCAAGCTACTTGGTTGTCTCCAGTTCGAGAAACGACATGTATCCAGTGTTCTAGAAGTGCATACACTCCGAGAATCCAATATCGACTCAGACCATTATCTTGTTGCAGCAAAGGTACGCACCCGACTCAGCAAGGAATTTTCGACGTCGAAATGCTGCAATCAAAACAAACAGCCGAACGGTTTCCTCCTCGAATTGCACACCTGCTTTCGGAGAGCACTCATCAGCAACTTGATATAAGGGAACTATGGAGTGGCATCTTAAACGCCCTACGTACTGATGCTACGGAAACAATTGGGTTTCGGCATTGCCGGAAAAGGGCTGGTAAGATCAGGAATGTCGAACTGCAGTGCAGAGAAAACAGACTATCTATCTTGCAGCAAAAAAAGGAAGAGGTCGAGTTACGTGAGTATAAAGAGATTGAGAAGCTGGCCAAAAAATGTAATACTCGAAAAACCTAAGGCACAAAGCGCATACCTAGTAACTGATCCACAGAATATACTGAATTTATGTAGAGAATACTTCTCCCGTCTGCTGAATGGCAGTGAAAGTGAAACAGCAGGAGATAGCGAGCGCGATTCTCCAATCGATGGCGATGAAACAAATGTTTAATTTTCTTACTATGAAGAAGTTTGATTAGCTGATGGATTACCCACCGAGCTATTCAAATACGGCAGTGAAGAGATGATAAGGTGAATGCATAAGCTTCTTTGGAAAATATGTTCGGATGAAGTGTGCTAAGCTCAGGAACGAATAGGAACGATGAATAACGGTATGGATGGATAAGAATAATCCAGCTTTGAAAGTTTTCAATCCACTAGCCGTCGGTGGAAGCAGAGGAAGAATAAGACCTTCACTCGGTGAAGAAGGATTTGACTGATATTTCCTATATATAAACGGTGTCTACGTCAGTAAAGAGGAAGAAGCTCGATTCAAGGGTTATAAAATTTCAATTATAAATATTAACTACACCCTCCAAGAACATTTTAATAGAACTATCCCGAATGACGAAAGTACCGAATACATATATACATCGAGAATTTTTTTCTGAAACTTTGTTTTACTGAGAGTGCAGAGAGCTCAAGAAATTTTCTTATATGGCATAAAAAAAGTACGTGCCTTAAGGACAAGTGCGGCACATCGCTAGTACGGTCATGAAGTCGAAAGGGTTAACACATTGAAAGCTCGGTAACTCTGTTGCTACACACATACCCACTTACGTACTTATGGCAACAGTATTGCTTCATAATTTGATAATTTACATTGGGTAATTTGTTTTTGTTAAAATTTCAAAACATATTGTTTTTTTTTTCTTCAAAAATTTGTGTTTGATACTAAGCATATCAATTCCAAAATTAGGAAAGATTTGCGATTAGGCACTCCAAACAGCCAGTCAGTAGGGCAAAAGGTCGATTTCATTGAGAAGCTCATGGCCACATATATATTTATATGTAACCGTACATAACTGCGCAGATAAGTGAAGACGGCAAACTGTACTAAATCTAATTTCGATTCGAGTTTTAAATTTTAATTTTACGATTTATTTTATAATATACATATATATGTTATGTGATTCTAAAAGTTTACCTGTCGAATCAATTGTAACAAACTGTAACATGCACTGAAGCCAGGTTCTTCTCCAACTTATCTTTTTAACGGCATGGAGATCTTATTTCCAGAGCTGGAGTGCGTTCGTTTATCCGAATGACAAAACCAAGCTAGCGAAGTCTCTATCTCTTAATTCGCTGACGTACGTCATCTGCGGTATTCGCCGTTGCCCATACGCAGTGGACCATAAATCTTCAGTAAAGCCTTCCTCTCAAAATCTCTTAAGGCTAACTCAGCAGATGTTGTCCTCTTCCTTACTTCTGTACAAAAATCAAGTGTAGAATTTAGAATGTCCTTTAACTCGTCTAGTCAGCCCAAGCTAATATCTGTTGGTAAGAGTGATTCCGCTCTGGATTTTCAGGCTGTTATTATATATTTCATGTACTTGAGATCGTAAATTAAATATGGGATGAAGTAAGCAAGTATTATACTAGAAGGAGAAGAGAGACAAGTTGAGCTGATTTAGCCGTACTCATCTGTACGTCTGTTTCTGCGCCAACTAGTCGATCAAATTTTTTTAGATATTTCAACTAAACTTACATTTAAACGTTTATTTGTTTTAACCGCTCAGTTTGGACCTCTAAAGCTTATTTACGATAGATTTTTTCAAAATACGAGATTTCGGGTCAAAAACACGTTAAAATAGCGTCTAAGAACTTGAAATTCAGTATTCTACACAGATGTACTTATACAAAATAGGCATTGACACATGAAACCATAGAAATTGGAAAAATCGGCCTGGACTGACCTGCCGAAAATCTTTAGAAAAATGTCTCAGCTTTTAAATATTTATAAAGAATTAATCTAAAATTAACAAATTCGTGTAACAGTCACCTCTAGCAAATGATTCGAATTTATTTTTATTTTTCAAGTGACCTCGCTGTAACTGTATCCCAATTTTATGAGATATCCGAAATCTTAATAAATCAATTTCATTTATTTCTTTTTATAAAAGAAAAATATCAAGACGCCCGAGAAGTCAAAAATATATGTCCGGAAAATCTTTTTGAATAAAATTCAGTTTTTGATTATTATTTTTAAAGTTTTTTTTTCAGAAAGTTCTTATTCTTTCTTAGCAAGACAGTTCTGGGGGCAATTGCTTCTGCTACTATCTTCCTTCAGATTTCCCGATAAGCTACGCAGTTCCACCAGGCTTGCGCGTTCTTCTCTTTCCGTTCGACAACCACTGAACTTTTCTTTTTATGGTTAGCTTCCCATGTGGTTGTTTTATGAAGGCTATTTACAAAGCTTCCTGTTGACATTCTTTCTACATGGCCAAGCCACATTGGACCCCGCATTGATAGCCTCCTATTATCTCTTCAGCGAACTTTCCTATTTGTTGGTAAAGTATTTTTGTAAATAATTTATAACCGGCATTGAAATGAGATATACCCTTTATGCAGTTTCATGAAGTTAGTGAACAAAAAAGGAGATTGTGCTAATTTTTGAAGGAACCCCGCTCCGAAAAATTTATATTAAATTCCTATGTTGGTAATTAAAAAATTTTTTGAATCAAAGTTAATTGGGAACATGGTGCTGTGGTGCTTCGGCTCCCTCTGCCTTTCTCGACAATTTTTAAATAAATTTTTAAGTAATTTTTTAAATAAATTTTTAAATAAATTTTTAAATAAAAAATTTGCATATCTTTTTTAAATGTTGAAATATTCGAAAATCAAGTATTTTCCAACCCCTGAGAGTGGACTTCAGCGAGTGTAAATTGTAGAAAAGTATCAGAAAAACATCTCTAAAACTGTAAGCCAAATTGGCATTCAAATGTTAATATAGCAAATCCAGCCAGCTCTATATCTCCTTGAATTCATTTTATATTTTGGTGGGCGAATCTCTTGCTTATTTTAATAATTGTTGATTTTTTAGAGCAGTGCAAATTCATTATATAATATAAATCTTATGATGACGCTTGAAGTCGACTAAACTTCCAAACAATTTTGAATTCAAACTAACCGCCAAATATATTGGTATTTATCAGTTAGTTAATTAAACAGCTTGTTCGACCACGCAGCCCTGATCTCTTGATGATACCTATGTTGGTTCTACGAAGAAGATCCCTTTCGCCTTTCTAAATGCTCAAACCATTTGGTGTAGCTTACGAAGTTCAAGACGAACTGTGGACTAAGAATCTAACGCATGCATTTAAATATTGAGCGACAAAACTTCATCGTACTTAATGGATACGGTAATGCGAATGAATTAGTAGCCAAGATACGGTCAAACAGATTCTTCTCGATAAAAACGCATTGGTATGTTTTTGTCACTTGCAAACTGTTTCCCAATTTACACATGAACAAGGCACGTTAAGGTGAAATGATACTACAACCTGCCGCAAATCCAAGCACACCTGGCCGAAATGGGATAAAAAGAACTCACGAGAAGCAATAGAAGTTCTGACAGACCACAAACTAATAGGTCGAGACGGGGAAATACTAGAGGCTCCCTATGGAAGATGCTACAAAAGATGTAAGAAGGGATGAGAAGGAAACTCTTGTGCGTCTGTCTTGTGCTTTATGCAGAGCTAGGTTATGGATTTTGGGGATCCTATTGCTGGTTGATCTATCCGAGATAGCCGACCTCAAGGCTTCTGGAATTAATGAGGTTCATTACAATGGTTGGATAAGGAAGTCGAATCGTCAAGATTTTTTGTGACTGCGCAATGGATCTTAGTGAATGCGATACGATGGATTGTTAACTACCATAAGTTTCAGACATCTGGCGAAAAATATTAACATGGGTGCACCTCCCATATAACTGGATTTATTTAGTCATTTTGTGAAAGTTGGATAAGCCGCCTGACGCTTAAAATAAATATCAACCAAATATCTAATTTTCGATTCTGCCGTAACTTGGTCTTCCTTCCTTGTCTACTTGTTTAAATTAGTTTGTTTTAATTTTAGAAGTTGGTTCAGGTCAACATCCAAAATTGTGGACAATTTTTATAGATTTAGCCGTGTTCGTCTGCCTACCAGTTCGTCTGTCTGTCTATTTGAACGCAAACCAGTACCTCAGGCTTTAAGAAACCTCAACCAGTTGGAATTCAGATATATTTTTATACAGCACTTATCATTTGCGTCCGCGATGGCCGAGTTTTTAGCCTTGCGTACTGCCATTCGGAAGGCCAGGTCAACAACCATAAATTAAAGAAAATTAATTAAAATGAGAAATTAAGTTAATGCTTGCGATCTCCCCTCAGCAGGGAATGTCACAAAAAGATCCTTTAAAATATTCATCAGCCGTTCAGAGGCGGCTTAGTTTAAACTGTAGCTCTTTCCATTTCATTGGAAAAACATCAAGACGTAAGACTGAAATATATTTCCGATGCTTGGGAGTTATTTTCTGATTTTCGGTATAATCATTTGCCGGAGAACTTTTTCGATCTCAGACGGTAATATTATTTTTCTGCTCAGAGAACAGAGGCTCCACAAGTAACAGTGTATCTGGGAACATTGTGGTTTAGTGGCAAAGCTCCATTATCTCAGGCAATATTTGGTTGGAATGCTCTACTGAGTTCCAATTTCAAGCACCATTTAGGGTAAGTTAGTCCATTCAAATCATTGAACGGACAGAAGATATAAATATATATATATATGTGTCAGTTTGTTTGTAAGGATTTGTAAAAGTGGATTCAAATGTATCTACGTGCTTTACCGGTAACACTTCTCCTGCTCCAACTCCTATACACACGTACGTGTATACAACACATACGCAATTACGTTGTACATACATATATACATATACATATATGATATATATTCGCACTCGACGGATATGCCGGCATGAAGTTATCGCTATGAATGGGTGGCATGGCGCAAGATCAGCGCAATCATTATGCTTGACCCAATGGTCTCGTACCATCGTTGGAGCCGAGCCAAGCCGAATGCATATCTTGGAGAATACTAAAGCTACTTATAGTACATACACATTAATGATTATATATACATATATTAACATAAACACATATATACATACATACATACATGTGTATGTATATGGAACGTTAATTGAGCATGAGCTTATCACTTAGTCTATAGCATAACCAAAGCAGTTCTCCATACCATCCATATGAGTCCATCTCTCACACATACATATTCAACTGTCATCCTCACGAATGCGCACACATATGCATGGGCACTGCATGCACACAGTGTATGCTGATCGTGAGTGTAAGACGTCTAGTTTGGCGGATGGTTGATGGACGTTTGCCGTTGGCTGGAAGTTATACTATAATTAGTCGAGTGTTGCCTTCTAAAGTAAGTGGCTGCTTTTAGTTCTGTGTGCGCCACCGACACCACACATTTTTGTTCAACAACATTTATCGTACATTTATTATTTTGTGTGGTGGGTGTGTGTATGGGTGTGTGTGTGTGTGTGCGTGGCTTGTGTCTGCTCAACAACGAATCTGTTGGTGTTGGTTGACTTGCTGCGTTTGCGGGAATTATGCTCGTCTAGCTGCGTCGACGATTCGAGCATTCAGTCCGCTCCAGTCGATCCATAGTGTTAGATCGCTTTAGGAAGCCCGTCGTACCCGCACAACGCGTTAGGGTTGATGGGGTTTGAGGCAGAAAGAAATATTCGCCTTATGTTAATTTCGAATAGTTTCGTTTTTTTCAGTTTCGTTCGTTATGTAGTTGAAAAAGAAAAGAAACAATTAAAGTAGTTAAATAAATGAAATGAAAATAGATGCGTGAACTTTTTTTAAATCAATTAAATATTATATTTTAACAAAACAACGAACTAGACTAAGTTGCTACGAATAAAAAGTAAATCATATTATGAACGAAAAAAAATATAATTTTTTTTTAATAAATACATATATGAAATAAGTGATTGAATAAAATGTGTTGAGTTAAAAAATGTATATATATATATATATATATTATATATTATATATATATATTTGTATGCATTTAATAGAAAATTTATGTGTATTGTTACTTGTGTTGAAATCGAATTCTATTAATGCTATTATATTTTTTCTAACAAATTTGTTGAAAACTTTTATTTATTTAAGGCAGTTGACTGTTAAATTGTGAAGATTGGAAAAAGTTGGAAGCGAGTTAGTGAATTAAGCGTTGGGCATGATGGAGCCCCACTGGAAGCGGTAAGTGGGAATTATTTATTTACTGTATGCATGAAATAGTGATTAAAACGCTGCATAAAATAAAAAAAAAATAAAAATAAAAATAAAAAAATAAAAAAATTAAAACACCGTTAACCTCAAACTAAAAGGATAGTGAAACTTTAAACCAATTCAACGCTCTAATAAATTTATAGAAATGTTTTTGTTTTTAGAACTTAGTGAAATTTTATGGGTAAAAATAAGACAATATATTAAATTTAAATTTCTAATGTGAAGCACATAGCAATTTATTTGGCATCCGTTTATTGTTTATTTATTTTCACAAAATTTACTGTTATTTTTTATAATTTTTTTGCGTGCATATGTTGTTTTGAGAAAACTATGTTAAATGTTATAAACTCATTCTAATTAACTTTTTTTTTAATATTGGCAAAGTGTTAGCTTGTTTCCTCTGCTAAAACCCTTCGGCAATTTATCAATTTTTTCAGTGAGCTTTTTAATAAATTTTTAATTTTTGTCTCCATATTTTTGTAAAAATCTAAAAACTGATAACATTCTCTATTCTTAAGTGCATATTTGAGGGATTTTAGTGCAAGTGTTGATTTCTTTTTTTTTACAAAAATATTCAGGAATAATATCTAAACGTAATAAAATCTTTTTTTAGCAGCTCCGAAACTAGATTTAAAACCGACGCGTTCATACGAATCTTAATGGATTCGTATTTATAAGCCATTTTTGAAGATGCAATATCCTCATTAGACCGTTATTTAAATATAGTATTACTGCCAAGCCGCTTGCCTTTAAAACGTTTATTATTTAGTTTTATATAAGAATCAAATTGATTATAGAAAATTTGTATGTCTTGCCATTTCTTAAATAATTTCGTTCGTAACTACAAACTTTTCCAATATGAGGTGTCATTATGGTATTCAAAGGAAAATTGATTTTTTACAAATAAATGATGGGTAATTTATTTCAAAGTATTGCAGATTTATGCAACACAATTACAATTCACAATTTAAAACAATATCATCCAAATTGCCGCACACGGCTAGTCTTATAGAACCGTATTTTTATGAAATTTTCAAAGCGAGAAGTCGTTAGGATCGATCAACTTTTCAAGAGAAAACACTATCCCAAAACTTTTCCCTTAAAAGATCGATAGTTTCGTTACTTGTGTATCACGTAGCGCCGTCTTGTTGAAAATAAACGTGGTCCAGATCCAGATCACGCCTACAAAAAACCATACATCACCTCTTGATAGCGCAATCTAATCCAGCTTCATTTTTCAAAAAGTAAGTTCAAATGACAGCCGCGGTAGCCAGGTGGTTAGCTTTGCGTACTGCCATTCGGAAGGCCTGGGCTCAAATCTTGGTATGACCAACATCCAAAAGTTATGGAAAATTAATTTAAATAAAAAATTGAGTGAAATTTTCTAAATGCGGACGCTCTCGGCAGCGAATGTCAACCCCTCCGAGTGTACTTCTGAAATGAAATAAAGGTTCCTCATAAAAAACCATCAGACATTCCGAGGCGGCTTAGTATAAACTGTTGGTCTTTCCAGCGGTTACAAAAAGCCAATTATATATTATATATAAGGCCCAATGACCGCTCCGAATCATAAATCGTAGTTACCCGTTGAGGATGGAGAGACTTTTTTTCAATAAATCTCGAGTTAACGAGCCCCAGATGAAACAGTCAACAGCCATCGAGATGGAAATGAGTCTCATCATTTAAGATGATTTTTCGTTGAAATTTCGGATGATTTTCATTCAGTAGAAGAACCCAATCACCAAAGACATTGTTGATGATCAGCCGGCTTGAGTTCTTGCGTTGGCTGAACTTTATAAGCCTTAGGACCTAAATCTTTATGCAAAATACGGTGTAATGACATTTGTACAATGCCCAAATCCAAAGAACGACGCGAGTTGGATGAACCTGAGTTTTCTTCAGCACTTTGGGTTACAGCCGCAATATTCTCATTTGTTTTTGAGCGACGTGCACGTGTTTTATTCTTCACATCACTAACTTGGCCCAACAGCTCTATTTTTGCCACCATTTTTTGTATTGCGTTCCGACTAGGTGTTTTACAAGGAACGAAAAACTTCTACCGTCCAAAATTATTGTTGCAATTTTTTCACTATTTCCAATAAATTCATAAAACTAAGAACCCAAAAACAATTCAACAGTACAATGACCTGAAAAAGCATTTAGAAAAATGTTTTAGTTCTACAAACCATCTCTGCCACGTTTTCAACATTTTCGTAATGAATTTTTTATAATTTCAATGCATTCTTATTACTGGCGTAGTTTTTATTTGTCAAATATTAAAAAATTACAGCTTCAAAAGTGGCATCTACCAGAATAGAAGACTATACAAAACAACATCTCTTATTGGAAAATCTTTTATATTTTTTACAAATTTCGAATTTAGCTGTAGTAATAGCTTCAAAAAAAATAGTATGAAAAGTTAATACTGCGTGGTTTAAGCTTGGTTAAAAGTGTACCGAGTGTTTCAGGCGCATCGTTACTCGTTCACTCTTCAACTGTATAGTTTGTATTAGAGCTGAATATTTTGCTGTAGCACTTTGCGGTAAAATTTTCGAGCAGCTCAAGCATTTGAGAAACGAGCAGTTGCACACTCGTTTATTGCCCATTGCCCGAAAGCTTAAGAGCACGAGCTCGAACAATTCGAGCTTTTTCGAGCATTATGAAAAAACTTTTGACTTTTTTCTCAGAACTTGTTTCTCTAATTTTTGGTTTGATTTATGCAAACGGTAAGATTAATTGAAAAAATTGCAGCATTCCAAAAAGTTCCCTTAAGAGAAACGCATTGACCAAGTTGGTTAGTCAAATTACGTTCAGGAGATTTTTCACTCAAAGTTAAACCACGTTCAGCTCGGTCAAGTGAAGTTGACGATGACGATATAAAGGCTTTAATCGAATGGCATCGCTAAGTCTTTGAGCGTAAGATTGGAGAGGGGTTGAGTATACCAAAATCAAACGTTTACAATCATATACGACGTCTTGGACTGGTAAAAAATACATGATATTTGGATACCACATGAATTGAAAGAAATTCATTTAAAAAGCCGCTTCAACGATTGTGCTTCGCATCTTAAACGCATTGAATATTATCCGATCATAACTGGAGATGAAAAATGGATTGTTTACAATAATGTCAATCGAAAACGGTCATGGTCCAAACATGATGAAGCGTCACAAACCACTCCACTGGCGAAAGGTCATGCAACAAAACGGAAATTGCAGATCTGATTGAAGTTCATTATAAAATTTAAAAAAACATTTACTTTCTTTTGAAAAAAACGCTGTTTTTTTATTTTGGGCAACCAATAATTCAATATTTGATTTGAGAAAAACTCCCAGCCCTATGTTTTGGCAGACCAAATGTCATCCAAAACAAAGTGGAAATTACATAATTGATTAAAGTTCATTATAAATTTATGTAAATCGCCGGTTAATTTTGAGGCAACCCATAAGTAAAGTTTGTTTCTATCTTTAAACATCTAAAAAATGTTGCTCAATATAAGTGAAAAATCTTGAAGTGCTCGAGCATTGCTCTACACTTCAGAATATTTAGTATGGATTTGAGCAGCGATTCTAATTCTTTTCATAGTTTTAAGAGATACTTACGCCTTTCATTTCCATTTCGATTATTCTACTCTCGCGCTTTCTGAGCTTTAAGCTTACAGTAATTAAATTAAATTAAATACTGTTTAGTGCTGCGTAATGCCATGCGAAAAGTCATCCAAAACTATTTTTTTATCTTGAAAGATTAAATTAAAATATTTTTTTTTTTTAATTGTGCTCGCCCCTCGACAGGGTACGCCCATGCCCTGCGAATGTATTTCTAGCATGAAATAAAGGCTCCACCTCAAAATCGAAAGCCGCTTAGAATAAACTGTTGGTCTTTGTTGGTAAAGCCGAAATTATATATGTATGTATTTAATGAAAAAAATAGCAAAAAAAAAGAATATATTGAAACTGAAATCGGAGACAGCTATGAGCAAGTTATGGCCAAAAAGTTTTTAAATAAAAATTCGCTAAAGCTAATCGAAAATAAGAAAGAAGAGCTCCCTTCGGCCATGCCAAATCTGCGCAAATCGGTTGTTCCCCAATTTCGATGACTTTCGGTGACAGCCTATAAATACAAAATCTCACGTATCCAGTTGCTTTTTTTACGGATATTTGACCAAAAACAGCTTATCTGAACAAATCGGTTGTATCGGAGCTACAAGATAAAGTCCTCCGATTTTGATTCTTTTCGGTGACGACTTTCATTTGTACATGCGTGTTTAGAACACCAAATCTCTTGCCTCAAAAAAGCTTTTGATGACCTTTTTTTTTACCAAAAACCACATACATATCTGATGGGCGGCTACAAGATATAGTCATCCTATTTCGATCATTTTCATGCTGTCAAAAACTTTGAATCTTTACAAGTTTGTTCTATTAGGAACTGACAAGGTTCCGGCACGAGGCTACTACCCGAATGTGTAGTTCATTCAATAAGAAGAGATGATGGTAAACAAAAAAAAAAACAAAAAATATGACGAAATCACTGTGGAAGAAACAGTAAAAATTATTCCCATGCAAAGCATACACGGTCTCCTTTAATGATAGTTAAATGAAAAAAAAACAAAAATCGTTTGTGTTGCAATGCTTCGCAAAAATACGTAGATTAGATAGGTGAGAAATTTATCCCAGCTGATGGGATAGGGCTTATAGCTGTGGAAGGGTTTCTCTGTGACCTGAGCGAAAGCTTTGCGGAAATTTCGCTTGAGATATTATACACTATTTAAATCACGATTTATATACATAGGTACATATATACATACATACATACATTTGCACATATTGTTAAAATAACATTATGGCAAGTCCTTTTGCCAAAATATTTTATTTACATACATACATACATACATACATACGATGTTTAGATGTATATACATACATACAAATGAGGTTCAATTAAAAAGTTCACATAAAAACATTCTGAACTCTTTGCTAATGTTAAAATATGAAAAATATTAGTATAAAGAGTATAAAGAGAGAAGAGAACTGTTACTCTTTGAATACAACAATCTTTTTGCATGCGAATATACTCTTTTGAGAAATGTTCAATTAACAGCAGAGTAGCAATTGATTACAGAAATGAAGCTCTCTGGCGCAAATATAGCGTTTGTGATAACATATTATATACAAGTATGTACATATCAACTATTTGAAATCTTTGTTTTAATAAATTTTAACATTTTCTGAAAATGAAGAAATAATATTTTCATTATTAGAGTTTTTTACGAGCTAAAAAAAGTAATTTTGCATTGAATTCGGGCGAATAATTTTAAGGGCTGGCTTAGGGAGCCACCAAATCTGGAGATTTGAAAACTTTAATCTACGTTAAGTCCCGTAGTAGTGGGAGAGGATGAGCTAGGTAATATTCTTAAGATAACAGTAATGTTAGATTAAATAACACTGGCGATCAAACAATAATTCGGGCTGGTTTTGTGTTTAAAAGCGTTTTTTTTTTATTGAAAAAGATGAAAAAAAAAATATTCCAACTTTGTCCGTTGAAAGCGCCTACCTTTTCCCATCTCTCTCTGGTTATTTTCCAATATATAATGAGCGCTTTGTAACCGCTCCTTGATGTTTCCGGCCGAGCTTCTCCTCCAATTTGTGGTTTTTGCGTCTTGATGTTTTTCCAACAAATGGAAAATACACTCGGAGGGGTGGACATTTCCTGCCGAAAGCGACCGCAATTTTGTATTACATCTCTAAAAAATAAAGGGATCCCTCAGTCCTCAATGAAATCATAGAGTAGTTTTTCAAAAATTCATTAAAAGACACGGAACGATGGCACGCAAATCATTTTCCATCCGTCGAAAAAACCAGTGGTCGGAAGGCGGAAGCTTTAGAGAACACGGCGAGTTGAGTAAGACTTCCCATTTCAGCATTTCCGCATAGTTTTTGATCGTTATAACTACGTGGGCCAAGCGTTGTCATGTTGAAATATTACATTGTCATGTGTAATGATCTTCTGGGAATCTATCGGCACCCTACGGGCAATTGCTATGCAAACTTCTGCATAGCCGGGTAATGGTATGTCTATCCCATCGTCATTAATTGGGGAAAAGACTATATACCTTTTGTAAGCTCGGTTTACGCAGGGAACCAGGCGGCAGATAAGCTCTTTGTGTTATACATATCTATACTCTGGTCTTAAAACCTTCTGTAAGTTGTAGGATTTCTTTTTGCGACTGCAACTCTTTGATGTCGAAGCTCACTGGTTTCTCTATGTTTGTTGCCGCATGGTCAGAGATGAATGCGTGCCTTTGCTGATCCGAGTCGATGTTAGATTCTCTTCCATCTTACATCTATTACAGCATGATCAATCGGAGACAGTTTAGTATATACTTGGTGATACGTAAACATTTGTTGTCAGTGTGGCCACCTGTTGAAAACATTATATTCAATTAAATTTGAATTAAAATCAAATATTTTAGTATGCATATCAATTAAACGAGCTGTAAAAAGTCTTGCACGGGGGACCGGCTGCTGGGATTTTTATAAAGAGTTTTTATTTCAAATTAGAAATACACTCGAGGAGGTTGACATTGAGGAAAAGCCATGGTAATACGCTCTGCTAAGTACTCGTCCAATGCTTTAATTTACCTAAGAGATCCGACCTTCTCTCCTCATAACTGAAAAAATGTTTTTATTCACCAAAAAAAAAAAAAAAATTTTATGTACATATATATACATACATAGCATTACATATATATATATATATTACATACATTTATTACTGTAAATGTATTACTTTTAATATGCGAACTGTTCTTTATTTCAGGCTTATTTTCGCCGCTACAATTGCTGCAGCTTTACTGAGCGCCAATGCGGTAAGATTAAACATACATATGTACATACACACACATTCGAATACATATTTAAGTCTTTCAATTAAAAATATTAATTAGAAATATATGTTTGTAAATATAATATATATTCTTTTTGAATGTTTTGATTTATAGCAATTTTGGAAAGTTGCCGATACTGGCGCAATATATAATCCCCCTAAGCATTATAGAGATGAAGCAACGCCTCCGCGTACACCAATAGATGATAGTTATGCGGTGCTTGATACCGTAACAACAAATCGGCAAGGACCTCCAAGGAATTGTACATCCGGTACAGTGGGTTGTATTCCGAAATGTTTTGCCGAGAAGGGTAATCGAGGTTTCCCCGGTGAAGTTGGTTTGCCCGGTCCAAAAGGTATGCCTGGCTATCAAGGTCCTGAAGGTCCACCCGGTGATAAAGGTCAAAAAGGTGATCCCGGTCCAATTGGGCCTCGCGGTTATAAGGGTGAGCGCGGTGTAGCTGGTATTCCTGGTATGCCTGGTGTAGCTGGTGTACAAGGTATTTCGGGTAATCCTGGGGCTACAGGTGCTCCAGGCAAAGATGGTTGTGATGGTCAAGACGGTTTGAATGGTTTGCAAGGTTTAAGCGGTATGCCAGGACCACGCGGTTATCCGGGTCAACCAGGTGTAAAGGGAGAGAAAGGTGAACCGGCAAAAGAGAATGGAGATTATGCTAAGGGTGAAAAAGGAGAACCTGGTTTTGCTGGTCGTTCTGGCAATCCAGGACCGGAAGGTCAACTTGGCTCTAAGGGTGACCGTGGTGATACTGGTCCTTATGGTCCTCCAGGTCCTCGCGGTGATAGAGGTATTAAGGGTGACAAGGGTGCACCATGTTTTGCACCACCACAACCTGGTAAAAAAGGAGACAAAGGTGAAAAAGGTGAACCGGCATCAGTGAAACCTACTATTGGCATACAAAGTGTTATGGGCGAAAAAGGTGAAAGAGGAGAAAAAGGAGAAACAGGTCCTGCTGGCGAAAAAGGTGAACGGGGTTATCCTGGCGAGAGAGGATCGGACGGTACAAAGGGTGAAAAAGGTTTACCTGGCGGTCCTGGTGACAGAGTAAGACTTAAATGAAAATTTGCATATCTGAGATTGATATTTTAAAACATAACCGAATATTTGTAGGGAAGACAAGGAAACTTCGGTCCGCCAGGTCCAACTGGACAAAAAGGTGATCGCGGTGAAACTGGTTTGAATGGTTTACCTGGCAAACATGGACAAAAGGGAGAACCCGGAAATCCAGGAAGACCTGGTGAACGTGGTTTGCTCGGACCACCTGGACCACCCGGTGGTGGTCGTGGATCTCCTGGTGCGCCTGGTCCCAAAGGCCCACGTGGTTATACTGGTGCTCCCGGTCCAAAAGGTTTGGACGGCTTTGACGGTCCACCTGGCGCGCAAGGTTTCCCTGGTCAGAAAGGTGGTCCTGGTTTACCTGGTCGAACGGGCGTTGAAGGTCCTCCGGGAGAAAAAGGCGAAAAGGGTAATGCTGGTCGTACGGGTCCAGCAGGTCCTGTTGGGCCTATGGGTTACACTGGTCCACCAGGCCCTGAAGGGGAAAAAGGCGAACCTGGATTTCCTGGTATTGGTGAAATGGGCCCTAAAGGCGATGACGGTGTCCCGGGGTAAGTTTTTTCATCTTTCTATTACATTATTTCTTGTTACATTATTTTATACAATACAATATTTCTATTTCAACAGTATCCCCGGATTGAGGGGTCAAAAGGGTGAACGAGGTTTTAAGGGCAATGCTGGAGCTCCAGGTGATTCTAAGTATGGTCTGCCTGGCTCTCCTGGTCGTGCAGGTTTACCAGGTCAAAAAGGAGATCAAGGTCGATCAGGTAATCCTGGTTTGAAAGGTGACATGGGTCCAAAAGGTGATGCAGGCGGTAAATGTTCACTCTGCCCTCCTGGATTTAAAGGCGATAAAGGCGACCGCGGATTAAATGGTATTCCTGGTGAGCCAGGTGTACGTGGACCGCCGGGTGCAACAGGTGCTCCTGGAGAGCGTGGATTAGATGGAATTGCTGGTATGGACGGACCACCGGGTGCAAAGGGTGAAGATGGAAGAGATGGCCTTCCTGGTGATCCGGGTCCACCTGGTAGAGATGCTATTGTCGATTTAAGTCAAGTAAAGGTAGAGAAAGGTCCAAAAGGTGAAAGAGGTTTCACCGGTCCGGAAGGTTTAAAAGGTGAACGTGGTGAGCCTGGTCAACCTGGTATAAACGGTGCTAAAGGAGAAATTGGGGCTAAGGGCGATAAGGGTTATGCTGGTCCACCAGGATCAGATGGTATTCCTGGAAATCCCGGACGAGGTGGACGTGATGGTCTTCCGGGTCTCAGCGTTAAGGGAGAACCCGGCCGTCCTGGTCGTGATGGACTCAAGGGTGATAAAGGCACTGAAGGTAATCCTGGATTTAAGGGAGACCCTGGAACTTGTGATGCTGCCAGTTTAACAGTACCAGCTAAAGGAAACAAAGGTGATAGAGGTATTCCTGGAATGCCAGGGCCAATGGGACCAATGGGTGATAAAGGAAGTCAAGGACTGCCCGGACTGAAGGGTGAGATGGGTCCACAAGGCCCAGTTGGTCCTGTAGGTCCACGCGGCTTAACTGGTCCACGAGGAGAGAAAGGTAATACTGGTGCAATGGGCGCCCCCGGAAATCCTGGCAAAGACGGATTACGAGGACCTCCTGGCCGAAATGGAGAACGAGGACAAAAGGGTGAACAAGGTATTGCTGTTGCTGGTCCACCTGGTCCACAAGGACGTAGTGGATTCCCTGGAGAAAAAGGAGATCGTGGTGTTCCTGGTCCGCTTGGTCCTCAAGGTCAAGATGGAGCAGTCGGTTATCCTGGCGACAAAGGTGATGCTGGATTACCAGGTCAATCTGGACAAACTGGACCTGTAGGTCCTAAAGGTGACACTGGCCCACTTGGACCAACTGGACCTCCCGGTCCACCCGGAAAACCTGGCGTTGATGGTGTAGTAGGGCGTGACGGAGCTAAGGGAGAACCTGGTAATCCTGGTTTGGTTGGTATGCCGGGAGCTAAAGGAGAGCGTGGCGCCCCGGGCAATGATGGAGCTAAAGGCTTTACAGGAGCTCCTGGATCACCCGGAAGACGTGGATCTCCAGGTCCAGCTGGAATACCTGGTAAGTATAGCCCTAATAAAGTGATGCGTTAATATAAAAACTGTTTTTATCATAGGCATGAAGGGAGACAAGGGTGAGATTGGTTTAACTGGAAATGACGGAGCAACAGGACCTAGAGGACCTCCCGGCGCGCCTGGTCTTATGGGAGCTAAGGGTGATATTGGTCCCGAAGGACCACCGGGAACTGATGGTCGACCTGGATTAGATGGAGAAAAAGGTAGCCAAGGTCTGCCTGGTTTCGATGGACAACAAGGTTTACCGGGAGACGCTGCCGAAAAAGGACAAAAAGGAGAGCCTGGAATACCTGGTTTGCGAGGACCCGAAGGGTTAACTGGTGCCCCTGGAATGACTGGCGAGAAAGGTTTCCCAGGTACACCTATACATGGAAACCCTGGTGCGAAAGGTGACAAAGGTGATCGCGGACGCGACGGTATTGATGGGCGTGATGGTATTCCCGGAGAAAAAGGTGATGCTGGTCTTCCTGGTCGAAATGGACAAAAAGGTGATAAAGGAGATATGGGACTTCCTGGTGCTCCTGGTACTCCTGGTTTGGATGGAAGACCTGGTGAGCCAGGCTCTCCTGGACCAGTTGGATACACTGGTGCTAAAGGAGACAAGGGTGATGTAGGCTTCCAAGGCGTACAAGGTATGAAAGGTGATAAAGGTGCCATAGGTTTTCCTGGTTTGACTGGGGCACCTGGGCTCAAGGGTGAACGCGGCTTCCCTGGTATTAACGGACGTGACGCACAACCAATCACAATTAAGGGAGACAAGGGAGAGATGGGTGAATTTGGTGTCATTGGTTTACCTGGTCTTATTGGTCCCAAAGGTAATCAAGGAATCCCTGGTTTGAGTGGTCAAAAAGGAGAACGTGGCTTACCTGGACCATTGGGTATGCCTGGTTTGAATGGCGCTCCTGGCTTGAAGGGAGATCAAGGACTTCCTGGTGAACCTGGAGCACCTGGTCCGGCAATTAAAGGAGAGAAAGGTTTACCTGGAAGATCCGGAAGAAATGGTCGTGAAGGTAATTTTCAAGTGTTTATTTTTAGTATGGTATATAATTTTAATTTTTTATAGGTACACCTGGTTTATCGGGTCAAAAGGGAGAAAAAGGTTTGCCTGGTCTTGCGGGTATGCCCGGGTTAACTGGTATGCCAGGTCCCGTAGGTCCGGCTGGCCCCAAAGGTGATCGTGGTCCAATGGGTGTGCCTGGACGTGATGGTGCAGATGGCTTACCAGGTCAAGTTGGCCAGAAGGGAGATATGGGCTTCCCAGGTATCAAAGGTGAACGTGGTTTGGCTGGTTTTGAAGGACAAAAAGGTGAAAAGGGTGAACAAGGCTTACCTGGCCCACAAGGCTTAGCGGGTCTTAATGGCATGAAAGGTGATCGCGGTTTCCCAGGCCTTGACGGAGTGCCTGGACCAGTAGGAGCAATTGGCGAAAAGGGCTCGATCGGACCTAAAGGACGTGATGGACGTGACGGTATACCTGGTGCGCCTGGTCAAAAGGGTGAACCAGGTTTGGTACCACCACCTGGACCCAAAGGAGAGCCCGGACATCCAGGATATGACGGTCAAAAGGGAGAGCGCGGACCACCGGGACCACGAGGCCTTAATGGCTTACAGGGTGAACGCGGTGAGAAGGGTGAAACTGGTTTGATCGGCTTAACAGGCCAACCTGGCCGAGCAGGTATGAAGGGTGATCAAGGTTTGCCTGGCCTCCAAGGACGTGATGGTGCGCCTGGTTTGCCTGGTCCACAAGGTGAAACTGGCGCGGCATGTTCAGCTGCCCAAGATTATCTGACGGGCATATTACTTGTCAAACACAGTCAATCAGAAGAAATACCACGTTGTCTACCAGGACAAATCGAACTGTGGACCGGTTACTCGATGTTGTATGTAGATGGTAACGACTATGCTCACAATCAAGATCTCGGCTCAGCTGGCTCCTGCGTGCGCCGTTTCTCAACACTGCCAGTCATGTCATGTGGCCAGAATAATGTTTGCAATTATGCTTCAAGAAACGATAAGACCTTCTGGTTGTCTACATCTGCACCCATTCCAATGATGCCCATAAATAACAACGAGATCAGCAAGTATATATCACGGTGTGTGGTTTGCGAAGCCCCGGCGAATGTTATTGCAGTACACAGCCAATCGCTAACCATACCCGATTGCCCCAACGGTTGGGAGAGTCTATGGATAGGTTACAGTTTTGCTATGGTAATATATCATTTACCGTCATATGACAATATTAAAAAAAAAAAAAATATACAAAAACAATTTTCTCTATTTTAGCACACCGCTGTGGGTAATGGAGGCGGTGGTCAAGCACTAGCATCGCCCGGTTCTTGCTTAGAAGATTTCCGCGCCACGCCATTCATCGAGTGTAATGGTGCAAAGGGTCAATGCCATTTCTACGAGACTATGACCAGTTTTTGGTTGGTCACAGTGGAAAGTCACGAACAGTTCCAGCGCCCCGCAATGCAAACACTCAAAGCTGGCACTTTGCTGCAGCGAGTATCTAGATGTACAGTTTGTATGAAAAATTCAACTTAAGCTGCAGTTCTTAATATTGTTCTTCCAAATAACCCGCCACCTCTCCCCTTCCCCCCTTAAAACACATTTACTATTTTTATATATATTAAAAGCAAATTTCGATAAATACGATTATTTAATTTTACTTTCAAATTGGCAAATTCAATTAAAAATTTAAATTTAGAAAGAGAATTACAACAGAACTTTTTAAATATGCACATATATAAATATACATATGTATATGCCTATGTATGTATGTATGTATGTATGTATGTATGTATAAATAACAAATTGCTATGAAAACCTTAAAATATCAAAAGAATGGGAGCTAGGAGATGTCTTCTTTTTAATAAATATTACGGTCACATTTTAGTTTCTAATGATTACTTGTTAAATACAAATATGTAATCAAAAAGTACTTGCCCAAGTGTTAATGTTAATTTTTATATAAACAAAATATGAAAACAAAAATTCTGCCATTGCCATTATATTATGAAGTTACAAAAGTTAAAAACTTCTTGTTTTTTAATTGTAATATTAGCATGTAAACTATAAGAGAAATTTAAAAAAAAAAAAACAAATAAATAAATAAAATTAAACATAACTAATTATGTAATATGTGTAGTAGCCATCTAATAAACTGTATATTTGTATGAAAGAAATAATAAATCGAAACACAAATACCGAATACGTGAACAATTGCATTACATACATAAATGTACAGGCACGATGTTTTTACACGAAATTACTAAATAAAGTGAAAAACTGAAAACTTTTATAAAATTAAACGACAATTTTCAAAATATAACTAAAAGCTCTGAATTACTGTAAAGACTTTCCACAACGCAATTTATACATTTCATCGCCACAGTAAGGACAAGAAAGTTTTAGGATGCACAAAAAATTCCTAAATCCCAATTATGTAAAATCATCATACTGGAATGGGTACTTCCATGGACCTAACTTAAGGGGTTATACATAGGTCTTGAAACTTCAAATAATTAATTTTTCTTTTTTTGATAATTTTTTGTATAAAACTATAAAGTGTCAGCAATATTTTCTTCAAGTTTCAAGTCGATCGAGATGAAACTGTAGAAATCAGAGAGTTTTATAATCCGCCGTCTTTGTATCGACTATTAAAGCGATCAAGTTCACTTCTTTTAAGCATGTTTTTGTAGTCCCTGAACGGAGGATTTATTTTATCTTTGATTTCCACTCATTTTACAAGCCCATATGTGGCCTAATTTTATGCAAAAAATGATGTTTTTTGTAAAAAACGCTACAAAAAATTAAATTTTTAATTTTTTAAATATTTCTTCATTCAGGGACATAAAAAATTCACTTACTTTAAGAAAAAATTTGGATTTTTCATTTTAGATAAAAATTGAAAAAGTTATCATGACTACCGCGAGAGCACTTGTTTTTCGACGGTCTATTTCACGACACTGCCAACGCCTTAACTTATACTATTTTGCATTCAAATTTTCATCAAATGGTGTCCACATATTTCGCTTTTATATGTAAACAAAATAAATACTTTATTTAGTGTCTTTTAAAAAAATAGAGAAAATAAACTTTTTTCTGGCCTTCAAGACCTATGCAACCCCCGGCTCCGCATAGAAATCGTTATTGCGCTCAAAAAATAACTACACATTTTTTTTCTCTTGCAATGCAGTAGTATCGACATACGGTCAGTTGGTGACTCTCAATTTGTTTTGTTTTAAATCTAAAAATACCAAATCCTTTGCAATTACTTTATTAGTTGTTCTTTCAAATTTTTAGAACCGTCGAAAAACCGCAAGATAGCTGAGAATAGGTCAGACGAAATTCCACCACTAACGCAAACAGTAAATAGCCATTTGATTCGCTTCAGGTTTCAGCGTAAATTACAACCAATACAAATATTCAGTGGATGCCAAATTGCATATGAAACGATGGCACTGTCTTTAAAAACTAAATCTATGTGGTTACGAAGATTCCCGACTGAGAAGGTCAACCGAAATCTTTCACTGATGACGTCACTGTAGCTCTTGTGAAGTCCAAAATTGACGAATGCCTGACACAAGAAATAATTGTTAATGAATTTGGGTTGGATGCCATGGCTGTTTTCTGTGTATATTAAGTAATCGTCTGGGATACACGAAGAAGTCTGATCGATGGGTACTAAGAATTTTTCAAATGAGTCGCAAAAAGAGGATCGAGTGCATTTAGCTCAACTTTTCCTAAACAAATTCGAAAATGGTCTATCTAGAACCACAGTAAAATCGTTACTGGTGAAGAATCTTGGTTCTATAAGTACGAACCAGGAACCAAACAGCAGTCCTTGGTATGAAGCCTAACAGGAGCAAACCCACACGTAAAATCTAAGCAACAAAAATCAGCAGCAAGAGTAATGATGCCAGTTTACTTCACCCGATCTAAAATCCACTGGGAAAGTGTCAGGTAGGTAACTGCAAAATGATACATCGATGAGTATTCACCAAAAGTTTTCAAAAATTCGTTTGGAAAACAAGAGGAAAGAGGATTTGCGGCGCTACTTTTCACATCACGTCACTACGCCATGCCACTCTGCTGAAATAACGTTCAGCACTATGTTCCCCGGATATAGCACCTTGTGAGTTTTGATTATTTGCAAAAATTTAAAGGCTTAACAGCACTTAACAGCACTGTTTTCAGAGGTGGATCTATAGGCTTAAGAAATGCATTGAAATCAATGACGATAATGTAGAGACGATTGTAAAAAGATTAGTTCTGGTCAACATACCGAACGTTGGTTAATCGCCTCGCAAACAAATTATCTGAACCCTCGGACATTCCATCTCTTGTAAATAGTAAAGTTGGAATAGTAACTGCCGGGTAGGAGGGCAATAAAACGGTGGAGCGAATAGCTTACTGACAGGACTATTTAAATATGGCGATGAAAACCAAACAGAATGCTTGAATCCTTTTTCATCCGACTAAAAAGCCAGTACTCGCAAAGAGCAAGACTTGGAGATTTCGGCGGGTGGGGGTAGACCTGCCATTTTAAGAAGTTTTTGACCATTACAGCCATATTGTTATACCTTTCGATCGTTTCTGGCCATTTTTAATGCATTGTATGGCTCAAACGCATTAGTTGTAGTCGCAAGATATAAATATCAATGGTTTCGCTTGGTTCAAGTAGCTCAGAGTGCACCATACCCGTCTGATCCCACCAGCATGCTCTTTGTCTTCGATGTTAAAATAACCACATTTGAAGCATCGAAACGACTCTCGGCTTGGCTTATTGGTCGGCGCGGACTCACCATAAATTTCCACATTCCGCATTCAATGGGCTTCAACTACACTTTTCTTTCAATTAAAACAAGAAATCAAAACTACCCGAATGCTGTGTATTTAACAAAAATCCGGACATTTTGGAAGAGTCAAAAAACATCGTCTTGAATTTGTACACCCAATACTTTCGGTTATATTTCTATAAATAAATCGATCTTGCCTTCATCGCGAAGAAGCTGTTTTACTGATCCTAACATGTTTTGTTCATTTGTTGTTGCGTGGAATACACAGCCGTAAAGAACGGGAAATATGTAATAAATTTTGGAAAATGTGAGTGAATTGAAAGATTGGCTAGAAGACCCTTACCACATCATAGCAAGTATCTATTCCTGTTCCCCCACTTTTTTCTACCTGTGATCCATCATTTGAAGAAATCTTTAGTAAATTAGCTAGGATTATGATTTCGAAGAGATTTCCGCGTGCGTGAAATGCTGAAACGGGAAAAGTGGAAAGTAAAAAGACCAGCTTTCTAGAAAATGTAGACAGTCAAAATATTTGTTATTAAAGTAATTAATTGTGAGGTCCTAACTAAAAACCAATACAGATTCCTGGTATTACAATCTCTGTTGTCCGGTACAATCAATATGAGGAGGAAGAGCGTTATTTTTATCAGAAGAAAAAGAAGTATAGTCGAGTTATCAACTGCTCGTTGTTTGTTGAAAAAACATCAAGGCGCAAAACCACAAATTGGAGGAGTAGCTCTGCTGAAAATCGCTTCAGCGGCAGCTGCATACTCTTACAGAATCATCTCCATTCAGCTCTACAACTCGTATTATTTTCTCCAGCAATAAATTAATAAAGTCAAAAGATAAGGAATCACCTTGCCTGAAACCTCGTTTGATATCGAAAGGATCGAAGAGGTCTTTACCGATCCTGACGGAGCTTTTGGTGTTGCTTTACGTCAGTACACAGAGTTGTATATGTTTTGAGGAGTTACGAAATTCAGAATTCGTCCTTTCGAACGACGAAGAGGTGGTGTGTGTCGATCCTCTATTCGACAGTATATTTATATTCAAATATCACTGCTCTTTCATATAAGTAATTTTTATAAAACTTAAACCTATACTTAGACCCACTCCACCGCATTGTATGCCCCTGCTAGTTGATGCGTCGTTTAATATCGTGAACGCGGTGCGTCGCATTTCGGCGAGTCTACGCCGCGCATAATAAATATGCCTTCCGTTGTTTGTTGTTGTCTCTTGCGCCGACTTAGAGTTATTAAGATATACTTACATGAGTTTAAGAATTTTTTATTAATGGATTACATCTCTATTATTTTGAAAGTTGCACGCATATCTGTAACGATGTCAGATTATTTGAAAAACTTTACCATCGTTTTTCGCAAAACCATGTTTTTCAAGTTGGTGACCAAGATTTCTCGAGAACTGCTGAACCGATTAGTCTCAAATTTTTACACGAGTTTCTGAACAATATTTTCTAGTATTCAATCGAAGCTTTTCCATTAGCGATGAAAAGCTTTTTTTAATGTGCAATTCAAGCCCAAAATTAAGGAAAAAATTGAATTTTTTTGAGAAAGGTTTTTGGCTTATTCCTTCGATTGTAATCGTACATTGCTTTAACGAAATCCGTTTGATTTTTTCATTTCAGATGATTCACTTCAGAAATACCATAATCACGGCAAAACGCCATTTTTGTTGTATCAACCTCAAAAACTGGTATATTTTGTAAATATAAAATTGCTAACTACTGTTCTAATATTCGTACAAATTCTCAAAATAATAAAACTAAAAGTTGCTTAGTGAAAAATGTTTGAAAAACCTAATTTTTTAGGGCTCCTAACTAGATTTAACCCCCTAAGGACTGAATAAAAATTTTTTAATTTTCCCTTCAGTTTTTCGGCGGTTCAGTTTTTTCTTTAATTTTATGTACTTAAAGTTATTAAGTTTGCGTTGCATCATCGATCGCATGTATTTGTGCAAATTGCAACTACTTCAACTGATAAAGAATATATATTTATAATTTTATTTTTTTTTTTAATATTTTTTACTACATCCAATAAGAAAATAAAAATAAGGCTTTAAAACTGTTTTGTATTAAAACCAATTCACATTCAATTGGATCTCATAAAGGATTATTTTAGCGACTTTGTGGCTCACCCACTTCCATGGCCGGCTGTTCTTCAGGTACAGAAACAGAAACTTTAATATCACCATTAGTCTTCATTTCCTTGAATGCTTGAAACATAGCTTTTATTAAATCCTTAGCCACCGACTCGGGCACTTCTATGTGAGCCGAAGATTGAAGAGCAACATCGATCAAAATATCACGATTCTTTCCTTGAACATCTGCTGGATTAACTTCAGACTGTGCAATAACAATCACCTCATCGGATCCACTGTCAGAATCATCCAACGGCAGAGCTGCTGTGTTGTGGAACAGCATAAAGCTGAATACTGCGAAAATAATAATAACGACAGTTCTCATGTTGGTTTTCGTCACTTGTTTACAGTTTAACTGATGCCTTGACTAGTTGGGGTGGGCTATTTAAAGTTAGTTTAATTATTATCGATATACTACATATGGATGTACATATATATATATATATATATATATATACATGAAGTGCATATAAACACTTCAATGTACTATTAAAAGTTTGCTACAAAAGTTTCCACTTCAAACGAGACAAATATAATATGCACATACGTACATATACGTGTACGTGAATGAGAATAAAGAAATTTAAGTGTTTGTTTATATATTTTAAAATTAATAACATTTGAGCCTTTAATAAAAATTATCTATTTGAAATCTTATGTAATCGTCAGTGCTTTCGCTCCATTGAAAGGTGTCACATTTGGGGATCCGAGAATCCTCAAAGATGGTGTAGAGATGTGATTGGATCTTAACGTGTTTTTTGAAATCGGTACGTCGTATAACTCAAACAACTTTAATTAGTTTAAATCGGGTTTGTTCCTACATCTTTATATTGTATAAAAATAGCATGTTAATTATACCTATTGAATTGACTACAATTCAAGCCGCAATCCAAGACAAGTGGAGAAGTACTCTCTACACGAACACAGTATTTCCCTTTCCTCTTTCCTACAAGAAAAGCATCCGGTCGAAAAAACCTTGTACTTTCTCATTTCGGATACCCTTTATTCCTTTAATATGAATCTCATTCGGTTTCTGCTTTAATTTTTTTAAAATCTCATATGTAATTCTCAAGCAGTTCTTACGTTCGCACCCTGTGAGCTGTAAGCCGCGAAGTTCTTTAAAAAAAAAAACATTACGGAAATATCTACAGTACCACTATTTTGAAATATTTTTAAAGTAAATCTGAATTTATTTATTTCAATATAAGACTAATAACTTCTCGATTCGTTATAATTGTATTCTTCTCGTTCGAAGAAAATTTCTTCAAGACAGGTGTTCTTTGCGTTTACAATGGTGTTACCCCTCGAGAAAACCAGCACTTTGCAAGTTAGTTTAATGAGGCCTCCAAGCCATATCCAAGTAGTTGTTGTACAAAGTGATATCGACCCAGTTGCCAGTATCCCCTTGGCTGACCTTACCAATGCCTACCACACTCGATGGTAGTAATGTTTCTGATTACGAAGATATTTGTACGATGATTTAAAGAATTCTTATCGGCTGTCCCTCGTTTCTATAGTAGACCTTAGAATATGTTTAACATTTTTTTTATGGTACCGAAATTATCTTAAAAGTCTTTACTACGTAACTGTTAATAACATTTGGCCAGCCACGTCCTTCTCCCACTGTCATTTTTAACAGAATGGAGTTATTCCTCTTCCGCTGCTTCCACAAGCGGATACTGCATCGAAATCTTTCAAAGCTGAAGTATTTTTGTCCATCCGGACCACTTGATCTAGCCAGCGCAGCCGCCGTTTCTTGATTCACTGAAGTATTTCAATGTCGCCGTAATGTACAAGATTGCTCATCATTACACCGGCTGTGGTATTCTCCGTTCCCAACTCGTAGAAAACCATATATCCCACGCAAAACTTTTCTCTCGAAAACTCCTAACGCCGACTCATCAGATGTTGTCATCCTCCATGCGTCCACTTCATATAGCAGGTTAGGAATAATGAGCGCCATGTAGAGTTTGGACTCTGTTCGTTGGGGAGCTTTACTTTTCAATTATCTAAACAATCCAAAGTAGCACCTGTTGGCAAGAGAGATTCTGCGTTGAATTGGCTGATATTGTCGTTGGCGTCAATGCTAGTTCCAAGATAGACGAATTTAGCTAGGACTTTAAAATTATGACTGCCAACAATGACGTGGGAGTGCGATGACAGGATGTGATGACAGATGATGCCCTCATTCACTACTAGATCTATTTGCTTTGCTTCTTTATCGAGTCTGGAGAAATCAGAACTAACGGCACGGTTGTTGAGGCCAATAATGTCAATATCATCAGCTGCACACTCTTGCAGAAGATTGTACCTTTTCTATTCAACTCTGCAGCTCGTATTCTTTTTCAAGCAATAAATTAAATAAGTCACCCATTAAGGAATCACCTTGTCTTAAACCTTGCTTGCTATCGAATTACTCGGAGATACCCTTTCCTGTCCTGACATAGCTTTTAGTGTTGCTTAAAGTCAATTTACACTGCCGTAAGTTTTGCGTCGATACCAAATTCAGACGTAGCAATGTAGAGGCAGCTCCTTACTGTCTCCGTACTGTCGAAAGCTGCTTCAAAATAGATGAAGAAGTGATGTGTGTCAGTGCTCTTTTCACGAGTATCTTCCAAGATTTGGCGCATGGTAATTTACCAGGTCTAAGCCACACTAATAAATTCCAATCAAATTGTTGACGGTGAGCTTTAGTCTTTCACACAATACGCTCGATAGGACCTTTACATGCGATATGAAGGAGACTTATTCAACAGTAACTGGCGCAGATTGTTATGCGCAGAGCACACTTAAGTTCCAATCATCGGACACTCTCTCAACCGACCATATTTTGCTAAGAACCTGATGTATACACTTTACCAGTGCCGCATTTGAATAGCTCGGCCGGTAAATCATCATCTCTACCCGCCTTGTTGTTTTCAAAGCCGGCGACTGCTATTCAAACTTCTTCATAGTCAGGCAATGAAACATTTCTGCCATCGCCATCGATTGGTTAATCGAAATCGCCATCTGCTGGTGTTGCACTGCCATTCAGCAGCCCCGAGAAGTGTGCCCTCTATAAATTTCATGTACTCTGGGCGTTCGTTACTAGATCACCTCTTTGTGTAATTCAAGAGTCTGCTCCGACAGCCTCCTGTAAGTCGCCGTATCGTTTCTCATCTCAGCATCTTTCATTTTTGTCTGCACAAGCGTCTTACTTGTCTCTTTAATTCTCGTTAGCAGCGTTACGAGGTAGGCAGCCTGCTTTCTTTCCACTGCGGCACCTCATTCTGTCAATTATTTTTGCGACATTTTCGAAAAAAAAAAAATAGTTCGTATGCAGCTGTACGTAAGGACCTTGAAATTCTCTTATACCAAGTTGCTGATCAGTGCTCTCACAGTGCAGGAATGTAAGGGGAGTGGGTCCACGCAGGACAAGCACACTGCAGACATGCCCTCCGTCTATCACAATATGATTGATCATGGGGCAGGCAAGTAGCTTGAATAAATTATCTAAATGAATTTTAGCCTTCAAAGTAGAATTTTACAATAGATTAAATTATATGAAAAAAGGGTTTTTTAAAGGTAAAATCTTTTCCCCATTTGATTCAAAATTTTATCACCTTAAATGTGTATCAGTCTTAAGAAGCAACAACAATTGCGTAAGAAACGTATTTACAAGCAATATTAGTGGCGCTACTTAACGATGGTACGACATACATATATACAAACATACGTTGAAAATCATATGAAGTACATAAGGGAGGAATGCTTGCGATACCTCATTATGAACATCATAATCATGTTTCAAGTGCGACGAGTGAACGCACAGATAGAGGGCGATAACGTGGGTGGTGTGCGAAAGCCGGTAACAAAACAAAGAGTGTAATAAAATTTAAGAAGTAACTGAATGGAAACAAAAAAGGACATACATACGTACATACACATTGAACATAATTACATATGTTTTGCATTGAGATATGAATAGTCAAATTGGGGGTGGAAAATCACAAGTGCATAAACGGAACTTTAGTGGAAACGTCAAATGGGGTTGGATGGATGGCTGATATCATGACGGACTGGAAAACTCGTTGGGAAAGGGGGTTGCTGTTAGGCAGCGTACTGTCAGTTGTATCGAACAGAGTGTTGGCAGAAGTCGAACAAGAATGGAGTCAAAGAGACGAGCTAACCAGCCAAGGCGCGAGTGAGCAACGAGTCGATAAGTGTTCGTGCATAAAATTAAATCTGATGAAAATAATAATTTGTGTACGAAAAGTTATATTTTATTGTACAATACGTTTTCTTGTTTAGTTAAAGTTTCAATGTAAACAACCCACTTTTACATTTTTAAAAAATTTCCGCTGAAAAAGTTAAAATTGAACGAAAATTGTTACCCCTGAAAAGTTTTGATTTCCAAAAAAAATAATACCAACCCCCAAAGATAAATGTAAAGGAAAAGGAATTGAATAAAACAACCACAAGGTTGAAGAAGGAAAATAATACATAAATAGACACCGTTACTTAAGAATTAAACACCACAGCTCAACGCGACGGCAGTCAACGAATAAATATGTTATCTGAGAATATCTGAAACCCACAATAGTATTGATTGAAAATTTATGGCAAAACATTTTTTTCGGGCCGCAAGTTAGCCAAGAACGCAAATATTCAGTATTAAAACTTAAACGGTTAAAACAAAAAAGTCAACTAAACAACCATACATACACAAATCTCTGTATTACCTACCGTCCCACACACTTCTTCGTCTCGCTCACCACTTCGCCCGCATACATTCGCTTGCTTGCTTCTACACACACACATATGATTATCGTTTTGTTGTTGCTCTTCCAATCACTATGTTTATACTGCCAGCGCCTTGTCCTGTATATACACGATCGATGGATCAATCCCCGGAATTCACGTCTACTCACGGAAGCCGCTGAGACATCCTCAGCTGCAACACGCAAACTTTTATTGGAGCAATATCGCACAGGAAACTTGGAACCGAACAAGCCGCCACGTAAACGGTATAGCACAACCGCATGTGCTGAGCCAGACGGCGGTGCTAGAGGTATTTTAGGTGAAACTTGTCGTTTTTGTGCTAACAGCCCGCAGGGTTATTGTCGTCATCATTTCCATCTGCAAGAATTGGAATTACAAAAAACCCAACAGCAACAGCAACAACAGCAATTTCATTTATTAGCAAAATATCGGTCACATTTCTGGCAACCACTCTGTGGTGGTAGCAACTCCTCAACGACATTGGAGCATACTTGGGCACAACGACGACAGCAGCGTAAAGTTAATCGTGAAGTGAAACGTAATTTGAAAAATCGATTAAGTGCCACAACGACACAAACACAACAAAACTATATTCAAGAGCAACAACAATATCCAATGCAAAAACAATATCAAGTACAAAGACAGTATTTGAGACGACAGCAGTATGAAGAGTTTATGAGGGCGAGAAATGCCGGCAACAACAGTAGCAGCGGTAGTAGTTCAAGTAGTAGTAGCAGTCCATTGTGGGATACATCCACATCGAATTCATCCAGCGGCTATCAATCGCCTTTTGCATCTGTGTATAATGTAAATGATTCACTTACCGATATCGACACTAGTGACTCGGGCCTAGCCACATCCATAGAAAATTCTGAAAATTGCGGTGCTGACGAGCTGGAGTCCGTGGAGGATTTTGAAGTGGAGCTAACAGCAACTACAAAATCTACAATAACTACAACATATGTATAATTGTTTGATATGCGAATATACGGGTAAGTAGTACACATATGAATGTACATTATATATGTAAAAGGTGTTTTTTTTTTAGACATATGGTTTTTAAGATGAAAGAAAACGCTTATAGTTTGCTGTTATGGCCAGGAATTTGGCTTTTTTGTTTTAAAAATGATTTCAGGCCAGTAATCGCCGTAGCTGGCTCTAGTCGAGAGGCCCAATTTTCGGCCACTTTTGGTATCGTCGAAAAGACTGACATCTGAGGCTTATCTGCGTAGAAAATCGGCTTCATATAACCCTGCAAATCATTGTCCAGCGCTGTTAAAACGTACAATCTTGGAGGCCCTACAAGGGAGATAATACGCTCACCAGAATTTTCCTTCAATAAATAGGTTGTATCGTTAGCAGCATTGCATGATACCATCCACATCAAAATCCTCCAATTCAGGCGTGAAAAACCCATTAATATTGCCTCTATAGCATTCCCCATCGACTGTAACATTATTGGCGGCTTTGTTTATAAAAGAAAAATTGACCAAGGATTCCCTCTGCCACTAAAGTGCACAAAACAGTGTCATTTTTAAGAAGTAACAGCAACAATGGCTGGTGGGTTATCATCCCAACAACTGCGACTATTTTTTTTCATAGCGTAACCACTCAATCAAGAGTGAGTTTAATCGCTGAACAAAATTGTCTTGGGATGCTTCGCGCGAACCGTACTCATATTTTGAAAATAAATTTGCACTATTTTACACCCAGAAATGGTCACTGAGATGATAACGGCACGCCGTTAGAGTAAATGCACCCTAAAGCTCTTAGACGTGATCATATAAAAAGTTTTCTTTACTCAACTTATTGAGCCCGCAAGCAAAAGCTTTATGACTCATTCGATTCTTTTTGTTGCGCCGACTTCCAACCACAATTAGAAAAATTAATTTTCTATAAAATTAACGGTATCTCGACAAACTCAATGCGTTAAGGGGTTAAATGCGATTTACAGCTTCAAATAATTGAGAATATTATTAAAAAGCTGACCAGAAAAGAAAACAAAAACAAAAAAAAAATTTTTGTATTTTTTTCTTAATCTTTGTCCTTTTTTATGTTCTCTACATAATCGTCATTGATTTCAACGCATTTCTCTAGCCTATAAATCCACTTCTGAAAATAGTCTTCAAAATTTTGCTTTTTAAACATCTCAAGTTAAGCATTAACTCGTTGCTATTAAGGACCTTTTCTTTTCAATTTTTTTAATTTTTGGAAATAACCAGAAACCACAATCCGGGAAATATGTATTTCTTCGATCTCAGAGATCGCAATAAAAATATTCGTTACTTCAGCAGTATGGAATGGCGTATTGACCTGATGTACAAAGCTGAGCCGCAAATTCCCTTTCTTCCTGGTTTCCAAAAAATTTTTTAAAACTTATGGTGAGTACTCTTTGGTGTATAATTTTGTAGTTACCGTCTGACCCTCTTCCAGTGGAATAGCAACTACGATTTTGGATCGAATGAAGTAAACTGAACTCATTACTTTTGCTGCTGATTTTTGTTGCTCATATTTTGCGAGTGGGGTTGCTCCTGTTGGGCCTGGTGTTTGGTTTCTGGATTGTACTTATAGAAACAAGATTTCTCACCAGTAGCGACTTTCCTATTCACTTAAGTCTCTAGACTGACCATTTTCAAATTCGTTTGGGAAAAATTTAGAAAAACTCACTCGAGCCTCTTTTTGGGCTTCACTTAAAATTTATGGTACCCATCATATATCCCAGATGATTACTTAATATTCGCGATACAGCAAAGGATGGCATTCAAGCTCAATTCATTAGCAATCCTTTCTTGTGGCAATTTCGGGGGTCTTCGTCAATTTTTGACTTCACCAGAGCTACAGTGACGTCATCAGTGAAAGAAAGCACTTAGCAATAGCCTTTTAAGACGGTGAAATCGATCCATATGCAATTTGGCATTCGCTGAATATTGGTGTTGGCTGTAAATTACGCTGAGACCCGAATAGAATCACATTGCGAATTTCTGTTTGTATTGGTGATGGAATTCCGTCTGACCTATTTTCAGCTATCTTGCGTTTTCTTATCTCTATTTTAACCGAGAGGTCTAAAATTCTAAAAGGAAGAAGATTAATAAAGTAAAGTAATTGCAAAGGATTTGCTATTTTTAGATGTAACATAGAGATAAACTGAATGTTGGGATTACTCACGAATTAAAGGAAATGTATAATTGACGGCAGCATAGTCCGAAAAGTAAAATATATCTCCGCAATACAAATTAAAGGCCTTGACTACCTTCCGTAAGGCTATGGTTGGAGTCCAAAATAATTTGTTCTAACTACAATCGCCCCACGGCAGGAAATTCTAAGCACTCCGAGTTTCTGCCATGAAATAAAATATCTTCATAAAAACCCATCGGTCGTTCGGAGGCGCCTTAGAGCTAACTCTAGGTCTTTCCATTTGATAAGGCGGATAACACAAAATGGAAGAGGGGCTCGGGAATATCTCTTCTTTGAGTTACCTATTATTTCGAATATCCACTGCCATTAGTTATCGAACACGAAATCAAGAAAAATAATTGCGAAAATTCACAAAACTAGCCTAGCGCAAAGGGGCAATGTTTAGTCATGATAAAGTCAGACGGCACCAGTTTTCGATATCCCCCGGTTAATTTTGCTCCAAATTGTTTTTATTCAATATTTTAATTAATCTCCATCAAGAGACACACAAGCCAGCGCCACTCTAAAATTACAACTTTTGTTAAATCGGTGTCTCGAAATAGCTATCAAATTCAGTGATAACATCTAAGCTCGAGCGAAATTTCTTACCTGTGAGACATGAAATACGAGTAATGGCCTATGAACAGTCAGTAGATGCTGCAAGTCAAATCTGGCGGTTATGCCATATGTGAAAGTAATTCAAAGTTTGTATTTTTGTCATTATTTTGATTGACTTGCTATACCAAGCAACGTGTCTTGATGAGAAATACTTTTCTTTTAGCCATGTACCGGTTTACAAACGCTGTAATAAACTTACTTAATGTTGTTGTTGTTGCCGCAAAGGTATTTCTCAAAGTTGTTTCGAGGAAACGGAAGTCATTCCGGTATAAAAACCAGGCTGTCGCGAGAACTATTTCGTCAATTCTTAAGACAGGCTTGCCTTACGGTGGATAATTTCTTGAACCTCTAGCCCGAAGTGGAACTAGTATGTAATAACCATTGCTGATATTTGATCACATAATATTTTGCTTCTCAAGATAGATAATGAATATTACGCCAAGCACATTACAAAATACTGGAGTCATAAATTTACCAGACTATAGTTGGGCTGTCGTGCGCTTCGGACGAGGTTCACCGGTTGCTGTCTACACAGCCGACGATTGCTTTGATTCTTGACCATGTTTCATTGACACATAAGTAAAGATGCAAAAAAATCCGTTTTTTCTACGTTTAAGAAGGTTTGAAGAATGTTTTGAACCATCAACGCGCGTTCTTTTATTTTTGGTCAACAGTTGGCAAAATCTACATCGACTTTTAACTAAGCTTTCTCATAGTCAAATACTCAAGCAATTTATATTCAATACATTCCTTTGATATTTTTACGACGTCAGCTAACTCATGCAACTTCACTTTTCAATCACTCAAAATGATTTGGCGGATTGGGTTGATGTTTTCTGGTGTTACCATCGAGTTTAAACATTCACCGCATTTTGCATGAGTCAGCCAACCAATCAATCCTTTACTGTTGCTTCTGTTGGATCAGAGTCATCAAGCCACCGCTTCACTTTAATGGTTGACAATTTTTTATATATTTATGATTATACAATTTGTTGTTGTCTTTTTAATATTTTTTTATTTATTGTCTAGACAGATTTCTATTAGCAAAATAATGTTTTCTAAACAATTTTCAATAAACGTATGTAATTTATAATTCCTCTTATTTTATACAGAAAAAAAATCATCCAAAATCCTCAACGTATTATATTTAAACCCTATCAACGATAAACCACGGATGCTGTGAAGACGAATGCAAGAGAGAGGTATTGGATATATCGATTACATAATAGTAAAGGCGTAGCAATCAACTTGAACTGTACCTACCAACACAAGCGTCCTTTAGCCAAGGACGTCTACAAAGTGGGTTAATTGGGTATGAAGAAATCTTTGTATCTAGCTAAAGCACTGCATCACTAAATTTACACTACACTCTTACAGGTAAAGACGTTAAGTGCTTTAGCAAGGTGTACAAGTATTGTCAACCAACCGGAAGTGACCTTTTCTCGCCAGACAATATTTACTAGACAACTTACATATATACGAGCAAAATAGAAGGCAAAGTTTTTTTTTAGAGCTCTTGAAGATCCAAAAAAGGAAAAAAATCTACGTACAAACATTGCCGTGAACAATAAAAGTAATCTTGTGTAATACAACAAAATACAAGCGAAACACCAGAAGGCGATGCAAAAATTTAGTAAAAAGCATAAAGACACACGTACACATTACAAGTTTTGGAATCACGTATTGTAACTACAAGAAGATGGCTTCGGATGATGATAACAGTTCATTTAACTCATCAATCAAATCGGATGTAAGAATTGGTGTACCATTTCCATTTAAACCAACGCCAACTTCTACAGACGATACGGCGAACGCAACCGTTGGCAAAATAGCTGTGGGCAACGGAGGCTCCTCACAAATGGGTCGTCGTAAAAAGGTAATGCCCCTGGAGCATGGTTGTGAAGATAATTGGACTTGGAGTAATCGTTATCGATCGAAGGAAATAGTATTAAGTGGTCCCAATAGTCGCACAGTGCATTTCCATCCGAATTGGAGTAAAGGCACAGCCGGTGTGCAGGGTAAACGGCCACTAAACAATGGACGTTTCTATTGGGAATTACATGTATCGCAGCGGGTCTTTGGTACGAGTATTATGTTCGGCATCGGCACAAAACAAGCAAGTAAGTACTGAAAGAGAAAAATCTTTCAACAGTTTTGAACTGATCCAAAACATTGTCCACTTTCCTGGAAATATACTGTGTTGTCCTTAAGCAGAGGATCACAGAGCTGTCATAGCACATTTCACTCGTAGACTCCGACTCATCGGATGTTGTCAACGTTCACGTTTGTGTATCGTAAAGTAGAACGAGAATGATGATGACTTGTAGAGTTGTAGGCAGCGAGGCCTTTACTTTACAATTGCATAGACAGCCTATACAATACCGTGTTGACAAAAGTGATTCTGCTCTAGATTTCGAGGCTGACATTGTTGTTAGTTCAAGTTAAACGAATTATTTACGACTTCAAAGTTATGACTACCAGTAGTGACATGGAAACCAAGACGTTCATGTACTACTGACTATTTGTTTTATAACAAAAGACATTTCGACTCGTCCTCGTTCGCCTTCCTTCCTCTCCCAATTTGGAGAAAGCAAAAATAACGTTGCTGTGGTTCCAGCAGTTGAACGCTCTTTGAGCGAATTTAATTTCTCTGTTTAATTCTGCAGCTCGTATCAATTTCATTGGCATCATCATCAAATGATTGGTTGAGGAAAACGCAAATATCTCTGAAACTTAGTTTGCTATCAAAGCGCTCGGAGATATCCTTTCCAATTCTGAAATAAGCTTTCGGTGTTTGCATAGCCGTATAAGTCTTGTGTAGATACCAAACTCTAACGGGTTTTAATTTGATATTCAAAAAAACTGTTTTCCTTAAAAGATCAAAAGGCGTTGCTTGTTTGGCACGTAGCGCCGTCTCGTTGCAATTAAACGTGGTCCAGATCAATAGCATCCAATTTCTGGACAAAAAAAATCATTTATAATCTTTCAGTAGCGCAATCAATTCATTTTCGAAAAAAATACGGTTCAATGACCCCGCTGGATCGTAAACCGATGAATACGATTCGAGAATTTTCAGTCTCAGTCACGTAAACAAAATTCAGTTAACGATTACATCGACAGTAGAAATTCATCAGACCATTTTTCAGCAAAGGAATATCTACTTGCGCTTTATCTAATACTAACGGGGCGGTGCGTATAGATCACCTACTTATCAGACATTCCGTTACCATTTCTACCACCATGACTTGGACTGGGTGTGCCAGTGACGATAAATATACCTTTACAACTTTTGAAATTTTTGAAACCAACTTCAACCAAACCATGTTTCGGTGTCTAGGTCGCAGCAAGAGATTTCCTGCTGACTTTTCCGTAGAATTGCGAGATCCAAGAAAAAAATAAATTGTGAAACTTATAACGGATGATAAAGCTTTGCTGGTTTATGTAATAGAATTGTTAGCGGCGAAAGAAACCTGTCAGCTTAAAAGAAATGGGGCATTAGAAAGCCATTATATGGTAAAGAATTGAGAGTCTATGACAAACAGCATTTCTGGATACTCATCAAAAATTCTGATAAAGGTGTATTTTTTTTAATATTTCGTACAGCTGGGCGCAAACTAACTTGTCCATTTATCTACCAAATGATGGGACTTTAAACTTTTTCATATGTTTCATATCGAACTTAAATAAAATTTCCCCCTATGCTTTAATGTTTTGCCTATTGATTAATCTTTAATATATTCCAGGACTTCATGCCAACTCATTTCGAAATATGCTCGGTGAGAATGAATTCGGCTGGGGTCTGTCGCACAAAGGTGTACTCTGGCACAAAGGTGTAGCGCTATTGTATACCAAACGCTTTAAAGAAAACCATCCCACTGTCATTGGGGTGCTCTTCGATGGCATCGAGGGTACGCTCACATATTACAAAGATGGCAAGTGTCTGGGTGTCGCGTTCAGAGGATTAGATAAGGTAAATATATATATATATATATATATATATATATATATATTTTAATCCCTTTCAACAGTAAAGCATTTAATGTGAATTTTCTCATTCAACCAAAGATCAAGGAACCACTTTATCCGATTGTCTGTTCGACAGCGGCGAAAACGGAAATGACTCTTAGATGTACACGACGCGATTTTGTGAACTTACAAGATCGTTGTCGTGCCGAAATTATCAAACATGTCAGGACGAGAGATGATTTGGCCAAGTTGAAGCTGCCACCACTCATTACACAATACTTGAGTGAGGTGGTTAATGATGAGGCGCCGTTGCGGCAAGTGGATAACTATGACATATTTTGGGATCTCTAGGCGGTAATAAGTAAGTAGACTTCGGGTTTTCACCGAACGATCATCGGTATGAGCGTGTGCGTGTCAAACTGAAGGATTCAATACTAGAAATTAGTTTGTAATTGTATATAAATTATAAAAGTATATTAGAACAAATGCAGTGTTAAAGAGAAAATTGCCGCAGTCATATTAAATATTAATATAAATATGTATGCAGACGTAAATACGTGCTTATGAATTAAACAATGTATGTATGTACATACCATATTTGTAAACAATCGCCTATGAACTCAGTTACTTATCTTGATTGAAATTTTTTTTATGAAATTTTGAGTTCATATTTGAAACTTTTTTTAAGAGTGATTGAGCTTGATAGGACACTTCTTTTTTGAATTACTTTTTATTGGTTAAAAATGTATTTTTTACATTTTAATTTCATTTGCCTCAAGAACTATTAATTTTTAGTAAAATTTTTTTAATTTTAAATAATATTACAGCAACAAACCAACGAAACAAAAATCTCTATCTATAAATAGCCTTTGATTTTTGATTAATTTTCATTATTTTTATACAAGTGTATATGTATGTACATATGAATGTAAATAGCCTGCTGTCCAATTTTGTTAGTCTAACCGTGACTTCGTCGTGCCATCATTAATTTATACTTGAAATTGATGCATCATTGTAAAAAAAAAAAATTTAGCAGCACAAAAATAAAAGAAGTTTTCTTTGTATGTAAATGGTATATTTGTATAAATTCGTATATCGAACGCTATAAACAAAACTAGTCATCATAAGTGAATATTTCTTGTAAGAAAAAAGTTATAACAATAATTATATTTGCATTTAAATATTAACAAAATTATCAAAAATGCTTAATTGTAATTGAAAATATACAAATATGTGGGTTCAAAAGAAACAAAAATGTTAATAATTTAGTTCTATAAAATTTAAACGGCATTATTGTGTAACCGAGTCAAAAGAAGAGTACCCTAACACAACTAGTTTATTTTTTTTCTATGCAGTACTATAATTAACATAAATAAAATAAAAGGAAAGGAAATAAAGTAAAATAAATTAAATAAAATGTCGATTTATTATTAAATGAAAATTCATAACAATGAATATAATATAATTAATTAAAAAAAAAATAAAAAATCAATAAAAAAATGTATATAAAATTCAAATTAAATTAAATATAATAAGACAAAATAAACTAAAATTAAATAAATAAAACTAAAAAATTAATTGAATTGAAATTAAAATTAAATAAATAACATAAAATAAAATACAACAAATAACATAAAAAATAAAATAAAATACAATAAATAAAATAAAATAATACAAAATGAGACAATATTAAAACAAATAAAATAAAATAAAATGCATAATACAAAACCAAAAGAAAAAATAATAAAAGAAAAATTAATTACATAAATAAATAAAAAATAAAATAATAGATAAAATATCATAAAATGATAATAAAAAATATTAAATAAAATATATTAAATAAACCAAAAATAAACTAATGTAAAATTAAACCAAATAAAGTGTAACAAAATAAAATGAAATAAAAAATTAAATTAAATAATATAAAGTAAAATACAATTAAAAAAACTTAACATAATAAAAAAAAATTAGATTATAGTAAAATAAAATTAATTAAAGTTGTGTTAAGAAATAAAAAAAATAAAATAAAAATAAACAAAGTAAAATACAATAAACAAAAATAATAAAATAAATAAATAAATTAAATTCAGTAAAGAAGTTCTATTGAAATAAAAATAAAAAACATAAAATGAAATGAAATACATTGAGGTCGAATAAAATAAGCTGAATTAAAGTAAAATAAAATTAAAATAAATAAGCCCAACTGAAATAAATAAAAAAAAGAAAACAAAAATAAGATAAATAAAATAAGATTACATTAAATAAAATAAAATGAAGCCAAATGAAATAAAACAAAACGAATATAAAATAAAATTAAATATAATTAAATGAATAAATATAACTAAAATAAAACAAGATAAAATAAAATACTATAAAACCAAAGTACAATAAAAAAAAATTAAACAAAGTAATATCAAATAAAATAAAACAAAAAAATAAACAAATAAAATAAATTCTTATAAAATAAAATAATATAAAATAAACTAAAATTAAAAAAAGAAATTAAATATGACAAAGTGAAATTAAATTATAATAAAATAAAACTAATTAAAGTTGTATTAAGATAGGGCAAAATATATATAAATATAACATAAAAAAATAGTAAAATTAATATAATAATTAAATTCTTTTTAAATTAAATAAGATAATATAAAAAGAAATGACGCACAATGCGGTAGAATAAAATAAAATAAAGCGAATCATATTAAACTAAAATTAAAATAAATAATGAAAGGCAAAATAAAACTTAATTAAATAAAACCAATTAAAATAACATGAAATAAAATAAAACAAAATTTTAAGAAAATAAACTCAAATTAAATAAAGTAAAACCAATATAAAATAAATTAAGGAAATTAAATAAGATAAAATGAAATTAATTAAAGTCAAGTGAAACCAAATATAGTAAAAGAAAACAAATTAAAGTAATTAAATCAAATTAATATAATGTAAAACGCTATAAAATAAAAATAAATCAAATAAATAAACAAAACAACATGAAATCAAATGAAATAAAACAAAGTGAAGTTACATTAAATAAAATTCAATTAAAAACAAATAAAGAATAATTTTAAAATGCAATAAATAATATAAAATAAAATTAAATAAAGCGTAATTAACAAAAAAACGAATTTCATTTTTCATTCATTTAAATTAAATTGAAATAAATTCAATATAATAAAATCTAAATAAAATATTTTGTATTAAATTTAAATAAAAAAAATAAAATTAAACAAAGTCAAATAAAATAGCATAATAAAACAAAAAAAAAATTTAAGTAAATTAAGTAATCTGAAAACAAAGTGAAAACAAATAAAATATAATTAAATTATATAAGAAAATTAAATTAAATAAAAAATAAACAAAAAGTGTTGAAGTAGTATTGAATTTACTAATTTAAAATAAAGGTAAAAATTATCATTTTATCAAAATAATTATAATCATTTTATGAGAATAATAATAATAAAATAAAATGGAGAGAATATTAATTTAATAAATATTTAAAATTAAATAAGATTAAATAAAACAACAGAAAATGAAATAAAAACTTATAACATTAAATGAAATTAAATAAATTAAAATCAAGTAAAATACAAAAATTAAGACAAAATAAATTCAATTCAGGAAAAATAGAATGTGAAATCAAATTAATTTGTTAAAACAATAAAACAAAATAATTAATATAAAATGAAATAAAATTTTGTTGTAATTTGATATATACAGTTCCATAAAAACCAAGGAATAAAATTAATTCAAACCGAATCCCGTATTCGATAGTAATTGTTTTTGAAATTTAATTGCTGCGGGTGATGATAGTAGTAGTAAGAGTTTTGTACTTTAGGCATGCTCAGTATAATCACCTAATAACTTACCTTTGGTCAAGATGCTTTCCGTTGGTTATTTAATTTAAAGAAACACGCTCTTTAACAATTCACAATAAAAAACAAAATAATGAGCAAAATATATTTTTTTGATAAAATTAATTTTTACCTTTATTAAATTACTTTGAAACTAAAAATATTATTTTACTTAGAGTTTGAAAATTTCTCATTTAATTGTTTTATTATTTGAAAATTTTCTTTTTTATTCTGTGATATGTGATAAAACATAATATAATATTGGTTAATAAATATTTTTATATATCTGGCTTAAAATTTATGTGTTTCGCTATTATTCCTTAATATTTTTTATTAAAAATATAGTTATATTTTTAAGAACAGTATATGCAATTAAAGTAATCCAAAAGGACTTTATATTTGTATGTAGATGTATAAATAGAACTGTCATAATTGTCATGAAACATATTTTAAATAATTTACAGGCTTTACTTGATGTTTTCGAAATAAGCTTAGCATAAATCTAACAGAAAAGACGTAGGCCTATTTGGTGCAATAATGTGATAATTTGTAAGATCATAATTAGATATATTAGACATTTCTTTTTTTTAGCAAGTTGCTAAGTTTTGAAAGCTTTCTAGATTTTTTTAATCGGCCTATATAATGATGTTATGAAAATAATAGAAGATATACGTATGTATTTACGTATTTTCAATTCAAAATAAAAAAGAATGTAAAATTTCATTTTTGGGACTTTTCATACGCTTTAAAATTTAAAATTTGAAATTTTAATATATATTTTTTCGAAAAAATTATTTGTTTGTATATGTCTAACACTTTAAGTTAGCAATTTAAGAGTAAGAGTGGAGTGGAATCTAGTCATGTAAATTGCCGCACTGATTGCATTGAAATTACGTGCAAAAACCGCAGTCGGCAATTTTAGAGTAGTAAAAACATACTAACATTTAAGTAATTATTAAGTATAATTAAAGTAAAAGAACGCAATAGATAATAAAATGCAATGTCAAAAATTCATGTCCTAATAAAAATTATTTCTGTGTCTTAAATATGTAAGATTATCTATTTCTTGATAATCAACACAAATCACTAGACAGAATTTAATTTCAACTATGGTGATGACGATGGCTAACGTGATGACAGCCGCCATGGTAAGTTCCAATTTGAATGTATGTATGTATAAATCTATTATTACTTACATTCAGAAGATGTTAGTTTCAGCTTTACCCATAATTATTGACATTTTTTATAATTTAAATTATGCGCATATACTTAAACTCAAATTAAATTCTTAGTAAAAATTATAAGTAAGTTTACAGCAAAAAATTGAGTAAACTGACACCATAACCAAAGGTTTTTGAAAACTCAGAGCAACGAAAGTATATTTTTTAAACCACTCCAACTACATTTGCAAATGAGACCATGATATCATTTCCTTTCAACCCTTCCGAAAGTATGAGCACCGAAAACTGTCTAAGCTTTTATAACTCACAGAAATAAGTTTGCAGAAAATATATTCAATGGCATCAAATACGAAATCTTTAGAAATACGCGCAAACTATATATATCTATTGTGATTATCGTTTCACAAAAAAAAAAAAAAAAAAAAATTGTCTCCGCTTACGCAACACACCATATGTATGTCAAACAGGAACTCTTTTCTGTATAATAATATAAATAAACAATTATCTACTGATTAATTTAAAGTATTACATATTTTGTATGCTTATTATTACACAATGTTTCATCAACATATACATACTATATACACAAAAAATAAACACACACACATAGTATTGATTGTATTATGAAACTTTTAATCTAAATTAAGTAGGACTTGTATAAATGAAAAATTTATAATAAATTGTATATAGTTTTCAACATAAAGTTATACAACACACAATAATTGTACGTTCGGTTCAACTTATTATCGAATTTATGATATTATTCTTATAAATAAGGATCTACAGTTCATCAATAAAATGATTTATATTTTGCAAATGATCACCATAATCTGTCGCTTCGCTGCCAACAAATGTATCATAATTACTTAATATCTCCAAATAGCTTAAACGATCGTCATGGTCTTCATCAGTCGAAACAAATAAATGATCAACTTCATCTTTGGCTATAGTCTCACTATTCGGCACTACCCAATTGAGTACCTCATTTCCCACCAATAAACCATCTTTATTCTCATCCAAGTGATCAAAGCGATCTTTTTCTTCAATTAACCATTCTCGACTACGATCTTTCCCAGTTTCACCAATATATTCAGCATAATCAATTTCTCCATTGTGATTTGTATCCCTCTCGCGGAGTGTATGCTCCAATACAATTGGCAACATTTCGGGATGTTCCTCTGGTGAATAGAATAATACATATTCTTTTGAATCCAAGACTCCATCTTTATTCAAATCGGCCGCATTGAATAGCTCTTTATCGGATTTAATCATTTCTTTCTCCTCATCGTAGCTATCAAAATCGATTAGTTCATTTTTCTCGTTTTCCTCCTCCATCGAAAAGCTATCTTTAAGATATTCCTTCCAACTGATATTTCCATCACCGTTTTCATCGATTTCTTCCAAGCGATCTGCCGCTTCTTCTTCACCCAGTTTTCTGTTATTAAGAGAAAGGTATATTACCAACATTACATTAATAATTCCGTATCGTTGAAAATTATATTTGATATTTTTTAATTAACAATATTAAATAGGCGCTGATTTCATAAATACATTATTTGCTTCAAACATAAAAGCAGGAAACGAAAACCATTGTTATTGTTGTAAATGTAGAAATGCTTGACTTGCGAGCATGTTAGGCAACTTGCAAGAAAGTACAAAAACGCACGTCAGTGATACGTGTATACAAAATTTTATTTTACAATTTGCTGTCTTTGAGGTCAATATTTGAGCAAAATTGTCAGGCAGCAGTTAAATATGTTTTACGTTATACGCTGAATTCATTACTAGCATACATAAGAGCAATGTTATCGAAGTGAAATTTAGTGATGTGAACTAAGTGTTATTTCTATTATAATACTAAAATGATGATAGTAATGTAAGCATTAATCAACAACATAGAACTCACTTAAAAGACCTTAATATCCAAGCTTTAAGTTCGTGACGTTCAACAAAGCCATCCTTATTTAAATCCATCAGTTTTATAAGTACGAGCAAGCGTTTTTTAGATTCTTCAGGTGTCAGCTTGTCAAATTCTTGTGCTTCCTTAACGCTGCCTAGAAAAGATTAAAGAATTAAGTAAGCTATTTCTTTTAATAAGATAGATAGGCAAGCGGATATGGTAAAAAGATAGAATATTTTTTTAGTCTTCTAATTTATGCATGTGTGTAACTACTAGGAATGGAACAAAAGCAACGCACGTGTTTAAACAATTGACGCGTTTGCAAGCATCAGTACCAACCCTTTATTATAATATAATTTCTTTTTCTTTTAGTCCAACAAAGAACTGTAGGTGCCTACTATTTATTTTACATTTTTATAAGCTTATATTCATACATATGTATGTATATATCTTTTTATTTATGGCACAACATAAAGTCTAAATACATATGTATATGTATTAATATAATTTACTTAGCTAACGCTTTAGGCATTTAAATATCATACTAACATTTGAATAAGTATATGTATTGTTACGATTTTACTGAATCAACCTCGATTATTTTCTAGATCCTTCGGGTACGATCTCTGGATTGTTAAATAAAAACTCGCCAACTTAGTTTGCAGTTTCTTTCGTTATAAAGATTCTATCTAATGTCCTTTATTCTCTCAGTAATTCACAATTCAATTATACTGCACTTTACTATTTATAATCACTAACATCAACTTTCACAATTTCCTCTACTTAAATGTAATTCCCTACGCGTTCACTTTACGTCTTCACTGATGTTAACGCCAACCAATTTGCTTTGTCACTGCTTGACTTGCAGCTGAGTGTCGCCTTTATATAGCAGTCGGCTGCTCGCAGACGAAAGCGTAGAAGCATCGAATTGTTCGCTATGGAAGGTTCTTGTGTTATCGGCTTCTCTCTTTCATCTGACATTCGCCTCGCACTTTCGCAACAGTATGTTTTTCAAAAAATATACTACTTTTAACAGCTATAACCTCTATTGTTTGAAAAGCTGAATTTGAGCAACATTTTAACTGATTTATCTAAAATTTCCGGTTTAAGATGCAGAAGTTCTCTTTTATTTTGCACTCACCAATTATTGCTTCATGATCGAATTCCACATTATGTTCCCCATTTTCTTGATGATGAAGATCTCGTCCAGAATATATTCCGTCCTTGAGTCGTTCTTTACTATTATGTTTTTCGTGTTTGTGGCCGTGAGCAACGGCTGCATTGGCAGGCATTGTATTTACTACCAGCACAAAGGCACCCAACAAAAACAAAACTACAAAACGCGACATATTTTCAATACGTTTGTTCACTTTAATGTATCTGGCAGCTCAAGGTCTTTGCCACTTGTGTGCGTCTGTTATTCAATGCTGCCCGATTGAAACTGCCTATTGGGCACAAGGAATTTGACTTCGTCACCGCTTCAAAATGTTTTAATATTTCAAAATGATTTCGCGTAGCAATACGGTTTTTTTTTTCAATGTTCCAATTAATACAGAGCAAATTTGGTTTTTAATTTTTTTGTGTTTGCACAATTGTTGCACCTCTCTTAGATTGTCTAAAATTATTATTTCTTCCACTATTAAAACCTTGTTCTCTAGCGAATAAATTCTCTCAAGCATCTGCAACAGCTGCTAGCCGCTCATCAACCAACCAACTTTAATTATACAACAACATGTAGGGATCACTTAACAAATGTATCACTGTATGTTCATCGCACGCACTATATATATGTATGTATTGCCTGCGTGTTTTGACTGTGTACAATTCCGAAGAACTGAAATTTTTTAATTTATAAACAAATCTTTTAAGACAGTTCACAATAAAATTCACCTCCTTGTGTGTATGCAAAATTTTATATAAATAAATACTCTCCCATATGGAGAATAATCTGCCGCAAAAGAGCTAAAGTCCTTCTTATTATTTCGCTACGCTGCGTTAAATGCTCTTGGGAAAAATCTTAATAAGTAATATTTCACATCCTCACCTTGTGGAGTTTAAAATAATAATCTCAAAATGTGCATTATTTTCCTGGTTTTAATTATATTAGAATATGAATTTATGAATGTATCCTTCGCTGTTTTGTATACCGTTGGATTTGTTTACTTATTTATTAAACCAATCATGGCTGTGAGCGACAGTCCTATTCGGGTATTTAATCAATTAGGTCGTTCACAATACGTAGTAGTTTTTATTTTCATTTTACGAATTTTGGATTAGAGTATGTCCATAAACCACGCAGCTCTGTCAAGAGTGGAGAGCCATAAATTTAAATGCTTAAAATAAGTTTAAAAATTTAAAGAGCTGTAATCAAAAAGAATTATATATAATTTTACACCTTCATTCAATACGTACCTAAAGAACGTTTATGTTTATATACGTTCTTTGAAATACGATTAACGTTTTCAAAAATCGTAAGCAGCAGCAACCCTGTGTTTATTTTGAATTCCTCTTTCTTGACAATTTTCAACTTTTGACATTTATATCAAAAAAATGTTTTGAGTGAGAATCAGTAACAAGTAATTTTTTAGAAGATCTTAAATTAATAACAAAAGCGAGTGAATTTCGAGATTTTCAGCATAAATTTTGCAATTTCATATAACGATAAAGAAAGACCAAAAATTAGTTACAACTGATTTAATGGAAAGCTGTATACAACAATAAAAAGTGAGTTAGAAAAGAAGAATTCTCTTTCTGGTGTCAGCCGCCATCCCTGCTAATTTTAATATAGTTTGTGAAGGTATTGCGAACAATTGCGAAAATAGAAAGTTCGACCTTAATTTTAGTGTATATTGTACTACTGCGGATTAAAAATTTAATCACAGTCGGTGCCCTCAAGAGACGTTCCAAAAAGCTTAAAGGGTTTGTCCTTTATGCTTTTACACTCATGTAAGGACAGTAGTAAAAACAGTTCCCACAAAGATGGAATTTATTTTTCAAGTTTACAATAGCAAAAAAATCAAACAAAGCCAATGATAACGCGCTAATTAAATACATATTAACAAACTATAATTCATTGTGTATCTCCAAAATACATTTAGAAATAGTTTTTATTGTTTGTCTCCACTATTTGTAGCTTGAAAAGGTGTACAAACATTATTGTGGCAGATATTAGCCACCACTTTGCGTGATTGTTTCGTTAACCACCATCTACATGAGCTCAATGACATTAATTAGTTTTACTTGTTCCTAACGACAACAACCACTTCACTTTAGCAAGACCAAATGTACGTATGTATAGATCAAACCCAAATTATTCACTAAGGGAAATGAATAGCTTTAACTTGCCACTATAAATTCGCTTCAGTTTCATTTTAATTTTTATTTCATTTACAGTGTATTTCAATCATAAAATTTTAAAATTAAATTATTAAAAATGTACAGATATTATTTATACAATCTAGGTCACCAGACCGTAATATATAAATAATTAAAATATTTGTATAATACCACCTTTAATAATTTTTTTTCTAATTTTCTTTAACATGCTGCCGACTAATCAAAAATTGGTAAAGTCAAACAGGAAAATCTAGCAAAGTAATTTGTATCTAAATAAAAGAATTTTACTAACACTTACGAACTATACTTTTGTATATATTGAACATCTAAACTATATTAACTAAGAGGGGAATCTGTGACGGCTACAACAAAAGCATTTATTAAAATATTTTAAAAGCAATCTACACTTACAATATCAGCAAATAAACGTATCAAACAGGCGATAAAGTAATTGACAAGCCTAGTCTAACAGCTTTAAGAAAGCTTCATTCGACCTATGTATAATTGAAAAAAAAAATAATACTTGAAAATCAGTTAGTGCAAGAGCTTTGGCGAGTTTACTTGAATATATTGGTAGTATTTAATCCACATCGGTAGTAGTGATAAAACTACATACTAGATATGTGCTAAAAATCGACACACCCTGGCTTTGCTACATTTTCATACATATAGATACAATAGTATAATTTATGGCGATTTGTTGGTGCACGCTTTCATTAAGATATTCATTGAGTGATTGACTGATTACAACCACAACGTCATCTTCATTATTAATAAAGTGCTATTAACATTAAAAGATAGTTGACACCAACTGTTTTGGACAAATGCCTTACATTATCATACGCGGCAATTTAGCGTCTTATAGCCATAAATATCCGTGGCGTGTATTGGTCTCCGGGCTGAAAGGTAACACTTTTACTAATTTTTTTATTAACATAATAAAAATAGACGGGTATAATTTTTTGTAGTATTTTTTTTTTTGTACTAGATACTAGTCTCTTAAAAAATATGTGCATATTTTATAGCCTATTTCCACCAAGCACTTAAATGCATTTAAGGCCTCTGTTAAGTAAATGAAATGTCAAACGTTTCCACCGAAAGTGAGTTAACTCAAACCGCTGATTTTTGTTTACATTTGCAGTTTACAAAATTTGCCACAACTATAGAAATCATGAATTCAAGAGACCGTATTCATTTTATTTGGCTATTTCTGCAATCTTAAGACTTGCAAGTGCAGATTATTTCTTCACGGACAAACGTTGCTAAAACGAATATGCTTTTATGCATGTTTCCATTTTCATATTTGTTCGTTTGTTCTCTCAAATTATTTATTTTGCGCAATCAGCTGATAGTTACCAGAGCCACGTATATTTTTATGTTGAGGGGATCGTTTGATATTTCACAATTGTTTTTTGTTTGTTTCTTATAGTTTTTTTTTGAAGGCGGAGAAGCATTATCTTCGCCAATTACTTAATATAGGCATTTATGTTAAAACTAATGCAAAAAAGGAATTTTTATACAAAAAATTTCACCAGGCAAAATAAAAGTCTCGCCCCTCATTAAATCCGAAAATACACGACTCTGGCAAGAAGTACACCGGAACTTCCGAAATGATTACATTATTAGTGAAAGCATCGAATGTTAACATAACATTTTCTGTTAAATTGCCGAAAGTGAGTTAACTCACTTTGAAAAGTGAGTTAACACACTTTTATACAACAACAAACACATGGGAATTACCGCATTTAAATGCGATGTTTAAATACATTTAAGCTAAAATGCATTTAAGGTCCGGTGGAAATAGGCTATTAGTCTTTATTTTGTTTTCGAATATGAACTTTTACATTGTTTAGTTGTTTATTTTTACTATCTATTAAACGATATCTTTAGGCTATTTGTTTTATATAGATATGTGTACACTTTATATATACATATGTATGCTTATGTGAAAGTGAATATGAATACATCTTTGTTTGAAGTCACATCGTTTAGGTATGTACGGATAGATTATGAATATCTGGTCAAACAAATGTTCCTCCACAACGAACAAAAATCGCTAAATGGTATCTCTGTGTGAAACAACTGATACGCTCAAAACAAAGCAAAAACGTACTGCATATGTACATATGTACATTTTTACATAAAACTACCTAAGCTATACATATGTAGAGCAATCAACCATTTGCCTTTGTGGTCACGAAGCCCCGGAAAATAGCATGAGGGAAGCATATAGGAAAAACAGTACATTTGTATATACCTAGCTACAATGTAAAAAAAAAAAAATCACACAACAAAGAAAAAAAACAACAACATTTTAATGTGCGAATACTCGCCAAGTGTATCTAAAAAATGAGAGAAGATTTCACTTCCATTTTACTTAATTCAATTTCATTCCACTAACTAACGTCGCTTAGTAATTTCATGGAGTACGTGTGTGCCGACTCGCTACCAGTAAAAAAAAAAAACAACTACTTGCACACATACAAATATACATATTTATTGACTTGACTGTCGTTTTCATTAATACATGTTTCATGAGTAATACCAGTATGAATAAATTCATTCGATGAAGAGGTAATGTTTGCTCAAAAATTAACTTGTGCGTGGTTTTATAAGCGTTTACTCGAAAATTTTCATATAAAGTATTTCTAAAACCTATTTTCCACTGTATCGATCAAAGTGCTTTGTCATTTATGCAATAATCAAGTGGTACGTACATATGTACGTGCATACTACTATGCGTATAAAGTGAAAAATAAACAACAACAAAATTACTAGTTTGCGTAAAAAGTGCATATTTTCAAATGTACACATATGTTTATGCACATATCGTGTTTGCTACATATTTTCGATTTTTTTTTATTTTTATTTTTATTATTATTATTTTTTTTTTGATTTATGTAAATGCGTGTTTACGTGTTAATGTTAATTATTTTGTACAACCACACCTGTTTATAAACATACATGTGTACATATAAACCTATAAATTTGTTTCCTTTGTTGTGCTATTTCTAGTCCTGTAATGAGGTAATCCTGTTTCCTAAAATTGGTTATGCGCCAAAAGCGCCTCCTATTGCTGTTAAAATCATTCATTTTGATGACATCACTTAGTTTTTGTTTTGCCTTGTTGTTTTTTTTTTTCTTTATCAAATTGTTAACACACGTCGTCTGCTTTTGTAAGTTATACTTTCTTCCGTCACACTCGTGATAGACCTTATAGAGTTCCTTTTGGTGTGCAAATTTATTAGTTTTCACAAAAAAATTCTCAAAATTGAAATTTAAAATTAGTGCACTATTTCACGGTATTGTTTTACATTTCTTCATTTCTTATGTAGTTTTTGATATTCGTTTCTTTTGCAGCGGATGAAATTGAGCAGTTGAATAAATTTTCGTGTGGCGGCTACAGTGATGAGACAACAATAGTTTATTTGGTGCATCCATGTCGAATCTTATCGGCACTTGAGGTAAATTATAAATAAATAAATGTTTTTTTCATGAATTTCAACAACAATCATTTGCGTCGCTTTAAAACCATCTTTATAAGCTTGTACTGTGCACATTTGTGTTTTTCAAACAAATGAATTCAATGAATGTTTAAAGTCGAACGGATTGATATTTATATGGAGCGGAACACACATTCTCCCAGTTCCAACTTACCGGCAATAACAACAGTGGACTGTGTTAATTTTAGTACCTAAGTGAAGTATTCTACTCCCGGTAACACTTGTATGCCAATACCAATGGCTTAGAAGGGTTTAGTTTCACCGTTGATCACTTGATTTTCTGCTATGGTGAGACCACGCAAGAGATAAATTTCTCTTTACTAAACATAAGTTTGTAGATCCTCAGCTGCTCTTTATGCTTTATCGTCTCTAGTGATGCGCGAAATCTCACTTCTTCGCTGCACGACAGTTAAAAATGCAACTAAATCCTTGGTTACCCTCTTCACCAGCTTAACGAAGGAATACAGGCTTGAATTAGATGTGAAGGTCGATGACGTAAAAATTCCGACTGTAATCAACCCAAAGATATTGGGAGTAATACTAGATAGCATGCAGCACCTGGGGTAAAGATAAAGAAACTTTGCTGGCAAATTACAAAGCAATCGGCGGGCTGGTCGTAAACTATGCTGCACCGATCTTGCCGCCGGGGACGAACGAGACGCAAATGAAGAAGTCACAGGCTTGCCAGAACACCGCCTTCAGGGCTGCGACAGGAAACCTACTGATATCGCCGGAGCATCACTTGCACAGTGAAGCATCTAAGCTACCAGTTAAGGAACACAATGCTTTGCTGTGCAAGCATACTCTCTGCGGTAACATCCCAATAGGCACCTAACAGAAGCTGCCAGCTAGGCACATCAGAAAGGGAGTACTCGACGTTAAAAATACCATCCAACAATATGTAAAAAAACCCGCTGGACAGGACGGCGTACAGACAGGCACTGAACGCCATTTACCTGGAGTCAGTCAACACCTTCAAAGACTCCCTTCCAGTGAATGGCGTGCTCGGAGAAAAACCACCAAACACTGCAGAAAACGAACTCGATCTGCCTTGAGAGACCCGCGTGACCTTGGCACAACTCAGATCTGGATACTGTAGTAGGTTAAGGGGTGTGGCCACAGTAGCGGGTAAAAAACCATGTGCAAATGTAATATTTTTTTTTGTATGGAACTATTATTTATTCATGAAAATAATCACATACCGATGAAGTTCGGATATAAAGCTTATGAGAAACTATTTTTTAGTTTTTTTTTCCGGCACAAAATGGCCGATATTTCTGATCTCTTTTCCATCCATTTTTCTAAAGCGCTCCACGGCGTGACATTTTGCATCTACAATTCTTGTCCTGGAACAAAACAAAAAAATGTCGTTAATCTGCATGACAATAGCTATAGAAGTAAGTAGGGGATTTCAAAAATATTGATTTTTATGGAAATTATAGGGATTTGAACAGAAAACGTGCATTTTTAGTTAATAATTCTGTAATAAACTAGTCATAACAAAAAAAGTACTTGATTAATCGAAAATCCCCTACGTCAATCGGATCAAAATTGTACAAGTTATTTGTCACGCCAATTCAAAAAAAAAGTGTTTCGAGAAAAACGCGTTTAAAGTTTCACATATAAGTTAGCCGAGCCGGAGGTGGGCTTTCGATATACACCTTCAATCAGTCAAAAATGATTTTTTTCATTCTGAGTTAATGACTATAAAGCATCGTTTAAGCAAAAAAAACGATTTTTAAAAAATTCTACTGTGGCCATACCCCTTAAACTCCTACCTATCCAGACTCGTCCCCAGCATATCCAACGTGTGCCTTGCACGACACTAACCACCTCTTCATATGCCGCTTATACCGACTCATCTAACCACCCCTCCCTCTGGTCCAATCCCATCGAAACAGCACATTTTTTTTACCTCCCTCTAGATGACTTCGGCGACTTAGATTGATATCTAAGCGGGATTAGCGCACTGCTACAACAACAACAAAAACATGGTCGAAGTGTAGAGGCTTAGCAACTCTGACCCAATAGGCGAGATCCATAGGTTGCCAGGCTATGTAATTTATGCATTATTTTCCATTGTAATGACTAGTCGTCTCTAGCTATAGTTTAATTCCTCATGACCATTTTACAGACAAATAAAGAAAAATACCTACAGTTGTCTAAAATTCGAATGTTTTACAACGACCTTTCGGTTGTTGTTCTTGTTATTATTATTATTATTAGGTGCATTGTATTAACTGTAAAAATAATCCCCAAATTGGTTTTTGGTGCATATGCATATTGTGGTAGTGATAGGCCTTCACTTGTTAAAAATCCATGCCGTTCCGATATAAAAACACGACTGTCGCGGTAACTATTGGATTTTAGTCGTCTCTAGTGACAGACCTCCCTTACCGTGGGCAACTTCTTGAACCCTTAACCCGCAGGGTGTAACTTTCATTTGAAGTGGGATCTAACTATTATTTCATGAAACGACACTTTTTCGCACCGCACTCGTGTTCCCATAATAGACTGCACCCCATACTCTGCTATTCACGCAGCTAAAGTCATTAATTCTTCACAGTTAAGTGCAAATTTGCGTGCCATTTATTCATTTGTAGATAAGCTTTATTATTTCTATCTGGGCGAAAATAAAAACATTATGTAAATTTGATGGCCTTTCTGTGGCAAAAATGTCTTCATCTATTGAGAATGTCTACTGATGTTTGCATAAATGAATTTTTTTTTTATTTTTTTTATATAACTGTTAAGATGTGCGTGTATTGCGTGGATGAGTATTTAAGTTTCTTAGGAAGGACTATCAAAAAGTTGAGCTAAATTTACCGATACACTCAACTACATATTTATATTAATTGTATTGAGTAAATTTGCATAACCGTTTTTTTTACACTTTCAGATTTTAGGTTTTCGTGTGGTCGCTTCTTCATCGACAGCTGTTAAGCAGGATTACAACGAGTATATGTGGACTATGCGAAAAGAGTTCCATGAGCCAGAACCACTTGAAACGGAATCGGTTGTGCGTGAAAATCTATCAAATATAGGACGTGAGGCAGCTGGTTTAGCCAATTATCACAAAGTTGATTCGCCTGAATAGGAATAAAGAATAAAGTAATCATACATACATACACACATACATACATACATACATATATATATGTATATCTATAAGTGATTAGTAACAAACGCTAAATCTGATCTCCCCGCCACCAGAAATATATGCATAAACATATATATGTATATATGTAAAGCAACTAAAAGCAGCAGACAGAAAAATACCGTTAAAGTGCTAAATCTAAATGAAAATGTATAAAAAATAAAATCAACTTCAATAAATTAGTTGCATAGAAACAAAAAACAACCGTACAGTGTAAAAAAGTGAAATATAGTGTAAGAAGAGGGAAGACAAGCTTTAGATAAAACAGCGAAAATTAATACTAATATTTCCATTATATACATATTTCTTTTTGTTTTTGTTTCAAATTAATATTTGCAAATTCTTTTCAACAACCTAACAAGGTGTAATTTTTTGGCAGAAACAAGAGAAAAAAAGTAGCAATATAATGGACTCCCAAGCGCCCGCACAACAACAACAACCACAACAACAACAACAGCCAACGCCCGCAGAAGCGCAGCCTGCACCTAACAATCCGATTACCACCATTGGCAACGCAGCGGCTGCAGTAAATTATATCGCCGCCGCGGCAACATCATCCGTTGCTGCCCAAACAGCAACATCAACAAACTCAGTACCGAATTCGGTAGCGAATGTTGTCACCATACCTGTACCGATTGTGCAAAACGAAGAGAACTACACGTATGTTACGGTGAAGGGTTCTCTGCACGATCGCTCATGCGCCGTGTTCGGCCTTAACGAAACGGAAATTCAAGCATTATCGAAACGTTTCGGTAGTGGGTTAAAGGGTGCCGTCAACGGCGTCATGGTAAACATTACACCGATGGACATGGTAAATACTTTGGCGCAACTGAGCTATAAAGTTATTTGTAGTTGTGGCGAGGCGGAGATCAGTTGGACAATGCAACGCGAGATTTAAAGCGTATTCTACGAAAACAAACAAACAGCCGGATAACTACAGTTGATTATTACTATTTGAAATATTACAAATTTAATTGTTAAAAAAAAAAAATCATAACCGCAACGACATATTTACATAAATGCTATGCTGCAAAACATAAATACAGAATAATGAAAAATATTTAGTGTACTCAATAATATTATTACTAAACTAAAACTAAAAGCTTAAGAAAATTGTAAACATATTATTTTTCTTTGTTAGGCATTAAAACAAAAAACTCTTTTCCAAACCCAAAAAAAAAAAAACCAAAAATAGTGTTGAATTTCTCAATCATTGGCCTAAAAACAAGTTAAACTTTTACACAATTATACACATTTTGGAAGTATACAAAATAAACTAAAATCAAAAATTACTAAAGAACTTTAAAAGTAAATTAAAAATGGATCAACATGACGCGGATAGCTGCAAGTGCCACAAACAAGCGGCTCCCGCACAGCAAACGCTAAGCGATATGGAATTCGATCGTGGCATATGGAATGCAGGTGAGACAGAAAAAATAATTTATTTGAGAAATTTGAAATATCAATCGATCATTTAAATTGCAACAACTCTTCAACTTTTCGCACAGACTTTGATGTATATATAGGGTGCCCCAAAATTAACGCATACAAATGTATGTCTAATGAATCTAAAAACGGTGTTTTCTATTTAATACAAATCTTGCGCTAAATTTGGAACACCCTATAGATACAATATGTGCATACGTATATGATTTAACAGGTTACTCATACGTACCGTCAAGCAGCAAAGAAAAATTCAATATGAATTAGCAAGCACTTATTACATTTGTATACCTTTCGCAAGCATGAAATTGCATCAATTCATTAGAATTAAAATATATAACGGTAGCACCATATAGATTCCAATATTAATTAAACGATTTATGAGGGTCTGTCAATTTGTTATTCCTTTGCTGAGCCAAAAAAAAAAGAAAAAACGGAAAATTTAGATGAATGCGGGCCGCGGCTACATCTCAGATGCTCCAACCATTGAGTCCAATTTTCAATGACTCGTTCGAGCATTTCGACTGGTGAACTGGCGAATGACACGCGTGTTGGTTTGCTCCTAAACCTGAATCAAAACGGTATTGCCCGCCTATACTTAAGACTTTACATATTCACACATGATACGGTGTGATATCACATGATCTTGAAAGTGCTCTTGCGATAAATCTGTTGATTGATGGGAAGTGGCACAGTCTTCTTGAAACCAAATGTCGCCAAGATCACGAGATTCAAATTTCAGGCATCAAATAGTCGGTTATTATGATAATGGTTGTTTATTCTTATAGCGGTTCCCTAACCCCGCTTAGGGACAGGTTAATCAATGTAAATTACCGAGGTCATCTAACGGCAGGTCCAGAGAACGTGCTGTTTTGACACGATCGGACCAGGTGGCATGTCAAGAGCTGGTTAGTGTCGTGCGAAGACTCTACATGGTGGACATACATTGGGTATGTTGGGGTCAAGTTGGATAGGTATGAGTTTAACCTGCTACAGTATCCAGATCTAAGTTGCGTCAGTGCCACGCGGGTTGCTCTAGTCAGGTCGTGCTCTTCGTCTGCTATAGGTGATGCTTTTACTTCGAGTACGCCATTCACGGGAAGGGTGTTTTTGAAGATGTTGACTGACTCCCTGCGATAATGGTCGACATTGGTGGTTACGTTTTCACCGTCAACATTTTTGAATAAATATGGGCTAACGATTCCACAAGTCTACAAACCACATCAAACCCTTAATTTTTCTGCATAAAATGGCAGCTCTTGGATCTCTTCAGGTAGCTCTTCGTTCCAAATGTGGCAATTTCGCTTGTTTACATACCCATTGAGCCAGAAATGAGCCTCATCACTGAACAAGTCGAATCTTCTTGAAACTTTTCACAATCTGTATTTTGTACGCTTTCAACTTAAGATCTCGACGTAAAATGCGCTAAGTCGTTCCATACGTCAGTCCGAGTTGCTGCGAACGGTGCCGAGTCGACGTGTCTTCGTGTAAACTCTCAGCAACGGCCGCTATATTTTCCTCCCTGCGTGCTGGACGTAGTCTAATATGGAATATTATCTAAAAATTACTGTTGGGTCTTAGGATGGGTGTTGCAAATAGGCCGATTATGTTGATGATAAGTTGAGTGAAGCACGCGAAACACATTCTTTACAGAACATGAATTTTCGTAATAAAGTTGAACATTGTTCAGGCGTCAGTTTTTCCATGATGAAATACAAAATAATACCGGTTGACACTACTCGTGATCTGTCAAAAGAAAAGCTATTGAAAAAAGCACCTCTACTTGGATCACCCGTTATAATTGGCGAATATTTTAAGCTATGCGCTGTCGTTTACCGTCCGTATGAATGTAGGATACTTTTGTGAGATGGACCACATTGTCGTCGTAATTCACTTTGACACTTTTCCCCCATCAAACCACGACAGACAGTTCTACCCAGAGGATTTTTTACGGCAAAAAATGTCACTTTTTCAATGACCTAACACCGTTTAGGAGTTTTTTTTTCGTTGGACTTTGGCCGATTTAGAGACAAATTAAGAGGCTCCGATTAGTCAGAAAAATGAGGAATGAAATAAACTCAAATTGAAAATTTTGATATTATTACCTTGAAATAAACCAATAAAGTCACTAAATTGCATATTATTGTAACTTTTGCTTCCTGTTACTCAGTTACTCTTACAATTACTCTTCACAACGCATGTATTTTAATGCCTAATTTCACTTCTTTTTGCGCAGCCATTTACAATGAGCCGGAGCGTGTACGCAATTTCATTAGTCGCGGCAAATCAATGGATCGCGATGACTTCGACTACACAGCATTGCATTATGCAGCACGTAATGGTAATATAGAAATATGTAAAATGTTGATAGAAGAGGGCAAAGCTGATGTGGATGCTGTTACGAAAAGTGGCGCCACAGCCTTACATCGTGCTGCTATGATGGGTAAATTAAAAATATTTCTATTTGCATAAAACGCATACGAAAATTAATTTGTAATTGTGCACATTTTAGGTCATCTAAATGTTGTTAAACTATTGATTACCGCCAAAGCTAATCTCCAACTGCAAGACGAGTACGGTCAGACTGCACTTCATCGTGCTGCTATACGTGGTCATTTGGATGTTTGTAAATATTTACTGGAAAAGGATGCTAAATTGAAGGAAGTTAAGGATAAAAAAGAAAAAATACCCTATGAATATATAATGGAGAATGCCAATGATGATTTCAAATTATTGCTTAAGCCTTAGAGTTGAAAACGTACGAGACCAGAGCGAAAAGAAAAACAAAACAAAAACAGCTAAAAGAAAATACAACAAACAAACTAAACAGTTGTATCTATAATTGTAATTTTACACAGAACCCCAGATGTGTTAGAACTATTTTATGTATGTATTCGCATTTATGTACAAAAAAAAAAGAAAAAAAATTCCCATACATCTGCATTCTCAGTAAAATATATGAATTAAGAATACTGTATTTTATTGATATTTGTAAACCATTTCTATATAATCACCTACACACCCACATACATACAAATGTATACATATAATAGATTTACATTTGTGCACAATAATCGTTAGAATAAAAGTTTGGCATTTCGAATGTTTGGATTCCAAAGAAACTCTCATGCTTTGTTGATTCGATTACATAAATGGATTTCGGTATTACAAAAATGTTAATTAATTACTAAGTGTTAATACTACATACTATTTTGTTATGAAATATTCAAATTTCTCTTAATTCACATGGGTAATCATCTTTAACATGCTATTCTACGCTCAGGATTTTTGTTTTTTTTTTAATTTTATGAGGTTGAAATTATGTTTGTTGCACTTATTAAGCTTCTGTTATAATCTATTTATATGTCTAAATATTACATATACATATGTATCTACAATATACAATACTTATACATATGTATATATTTGTATGCTAATTTGTATTCCAAAAATTGTATTTTGAAAATCAATTTCTTAAAAAGTTTAGTTTAAAATAATGTGAAAATGTTTAAAAACAATATTTGCAAATACATAATTGTATTTTACGAATAAATAAAATATCATATTTATATATATTTATTATATATATAAAACTTTCATAAATATAAATATGTATTTTTTCTTCATTTTAAAAGTTTATTAACATTTACAATAAACTAGTTAATTAGTTAAGTTTCTCTGTTTCAGAACAACTTTAAATGTATGTATGTCGTAACTATATTTTACTGCTGTTAACATTTAATTGCCAACGAATTCTTTGATCAGGTCTACCTTTATATCTTTAAAGGGTTTACCTAAGGAACACTTCAATTGTGCCGATCGTATTGTGTTTTGCGTGCGTAAATTAATTATTATTATTAATTTGTTTTGTTTTATTTTTCGTACAAAAGAAGAATGAATTTTTATTTTCAGCCAAGCTCCCACATCGATTTGTGTTATGCATCTTAATGTTTTTCTAAACCACCACTGAAGGGCTGATAGATTTTTATGAGGAGCATTTTTTACATATCAGTGAGTGGGAGGGTTGACATTGCCTGCCGAAGAGCAAACGCAGTTGGAAAAATAAGTGAAAAAATAAGTAACGATAATTTTCGCTGTTGATCGGACCAGGACTCAGTTATTTCCCATTGACCACTACCTCATTGCAGCGAGTGTTTGAAAATAAATGAATTCAACTTTCAAATTATTATGCATAACAGATTACTTACTCGCTGTACTGGATAGTCAAGTTTTTGAATAATAAAAAATTCCACTTCCGTTGTGAAACCGCAGCTAACCTTAAACCAACCTTATCAACTAACACTTATTATACTAATTTAACAGCCTTACTTAACATCTTGCTAGATACCGTCATCTATATTGCAAGCATTTCCCATCACAGATGCGCAATCATCGAACTGATGCAAATACTTTTGCAACATTTTTGGTATATCTAAATGTTTTATCATACGACTCAAACTCGATTCATGCTTCGTTGTAGGGTATCGTTGTCTCACCACAACCGAACTATTGAGCAGACCAATAAGATGGTTTCGTACTGCTATGCGGCATATTGATTGGAGCGGCAGGGGTGTGTTGCAAAAGCGAAACATTTCCTCTTCAAAGTGACGCTCTTCATCAGTCCACGTTTTCGGCCATGGCGGTCGCTTATAGGGGAATTTATAACCGATGTGTACTGGAAATGCAGATTTTTTTTCTTACATAATCGAATACTTAATTACACTTACCACACAATACGCACCTAATAGTTTTGTAAGCTCCAAACATCTGGGTAAATTATCTAAGCGAACATCCCTCACCCCATGCTCACAATTGTCCTGTGATATGTTGAGTCCCTCCTTAACTAAAAATTCAGCTATATCGAACTTGTTTAGCGTAATTGCGTGCAACAGTGGCGTGTGGGCGAATGTACTAAAAGATGACGGAAGAGTTGAGCACGACGAATTCATCCATCTACCGTCACTATAAGCGAACAGTACGCGGGCAATGGGTTCGAATTCTTGCACGGTATCAATATATTGAACAGCGATCAATAGCTCGGTTTCCACGTTGTCAACTAGTGGTGCTCCCTTTGATTGTTGCACCGCAGCCGCACGCAGCAACAACTCCAGCATGTTGACATTCTTCTTGAGTATAGCGAGCAGAATGGGCGTAGCGCCAGCTTCATTGCGCACATTCAAACTATTGCCGTAACTAAGTAAAATCTCAGCTATATCCGGCATATCGTAGAGTACGCAATGGTGCAGCAGATAATGTGAAGTGATGCGACGAGCGCCACTTTGCAATAAACGCATTGTCATCGATTGATTTTTCCTCAAGACAGCGTAGTAAAGAGCACTATATCCATCCTTGTTCTGTAGATTGACGCGGGCGCCACGTTCAATTAAATTAATTGCGATATCTTCCAGATTTTTGGCTATGGCACACATGAGCGGTGTTTGATCGTTGTCGTCTGTTGCGTTGACATTCACAGCCGATTGCAATATGATGTTGACCTTAAATTACAGTAAATTTGATAACTATAAATTCTTTGATTTTAATTTCTCTTTTTTTTTTTTAAATTTACCACTGTCTTATTACAATTCTTTATAGCCAAATGCAAAGGTGTTTCGCCGGTGTTGATAGTTTTCAAATTAGGATTAGCGCCATGCTTCAATAGAATACGTACTACTTCCGGAGAGTCTACGGCCACATGCAGTGGTGTATTACCCTTACTGTCGACTGCATCCACCGATGCACCGTGTGAGAGTAGTGCACGTACACATTCCAAATTTCCACAACCGGCCGCGTAATGCAAAGGTGTTGACAATTGCTCATCCGCACGATGAATATCTTGTTGATATTCCAAATTTGACGCTATCGCATAGGATTCATCCAAGCGGGAGATAATAGCACCTGTACGCTCAAAGGTTTTGGCATAATAATAGTAGAGTGATGTGTCTTCGGCATCCGAGGCGGCTTCTTCAGCGCCACTTTGATTGCAGTTGTTACAATTTTCAATAAATTCATCTTCCCACTCCAGATTGTCCATGCCATCTGGGGTGCAGTCTGTTTCCATTTCATAAGATTTCGAGTGATCTGTTAAAAATTCAATATGAAAAGTTGTTCTTTTATAGCGGATGGCTTACTCTACTTATGTATGAGCAAATCACAGCTAAAGTAGTCTAACGACTCATTCCGGATTGCCTAATGGTTTAATAAAGTAGTCGTTAAGGGGAGATAGTTATAGATACGTGAATAGAGGATAAAGGACATTACAGATTATCTATCAACTTGCGCTCTCATGCCTATTTATATATGCTATATTTATATATGAATGAGATTTATTAGTGCTCGCAAAATATTCCCCAAATTGGCTTAGAGGATCCTTGGCTGAATGAAAGTTCTTAGACGTAGAACAGTAACAGCCGAGTGGTTAGCAGTAGTCACTATCATTCGGAAGGTCAGGCTCGAGTACTGGCCTGACCAATATCCAATATTATAGAATAAAAATATAAAAAATTAAATAAAATCTTCAAATTGCATTTGCCCCTCGGCCGAGGATGTCAAGGCCTCCGAGTGTATTGCTGGCATAAAATAAAGAAACCTCATAAAAAACCATTCCCCGCTGGGAGGCGGCCTAGTATAAACTACAAATTGAAGGAGGAGCTCGAGGGAAGTTGCTTTAGCGGTTAAAAAGCATCCATTATATATGTAATCTGGTGAGCAAATATATATAGAATATCGGTCTGAACCAGCGTTTGTCGAACGTAAAGCTTGTTTATATAAAGAAAGGGGATTCTACCACAAGCAAGTGTGTGTATAACTGTTTCCCGAAAGAGTGATTGGGCATGTCTTTTAACAGGTCTCGTAAGAACCGCATTACCGCTTAACATCGCTTAAGTACGTCTCTCGGCACGGTATATTAACCGCTCTAGGTGTATCTCTGGTATGAAATTAAAATAAAAGCTTCTCAGAAAATCCATTGACCGTTCACTGGTGGCTAACTGACAAACTGTAAGTCCCTGCAGCTGTTGGGAAAAACATTAAGCGGGCACAACAAATTGAAACCGGAAGGTTGGCCGAAAGTTCCTTTAGCTTTTATGTGTTATAAGTACAGTCGCATATGAGTATAGCGGGCATCCTGTACAGACCTCAACCTCAATGAACTGAACGAACAGTCCTTCCATACTCGTATATCTTATAAGTGGTACTGCGTATTTCGGGTTACCCCCTAGCCACTCTAGGATTTTGGAAAACCCAACTTTTTCTTTGTTTTTGCACACAGTGTACATTTGGGTCCCAGAAATGATTTTTTTAAATGGGAGGACGGATTATTCGGATCTTACTGCATCGATTTATCTGAAATTTTGATTGTACTTCCAAAGACCATAGTTTGTAGACCATAAAACTTTTTGCTTTTCTGTTCTAGGTCTCATCTTTTAGATGAAATTGGTCCTCCCGTGAACGCCTTAAAAAAACGTGGATTAAATAATAGACTTAATCGCCGCCATTTTGTAACAAAATAATAATTAAATAATATTTTTTTATACTTCAATATGTGTTTAATGAAATGGTTAAATAGAAAATCTATTGCTTTTCGCATATTCCCACAATAAATTTAAAAAACTGAGTCTATTTTTCAACCTCTATTGGGGCTTTACCTCTTATATATATTTATAAATGGCGCTTTTGTAACCGCTGAAGCGATTTTTCGGCCGAGCTCCTCCTCCAATTTGTGGTTTTGTGTTTTGTTGTTTTTTTTTTCAACAAATGGAGGGACCTACAATTTATACTAAGCCACCTCCGAACAGCTGATGGTTTTCTTACGAGGAGCCTTTATTTCATATACGGAACACACTCGGAGGGGTGGACATACCCTGCCGAGGGGCGACCGCAATTAGAAATTTTAATTCAATTTTTTATTTAAATTAATTTTCCATAATTCGTCTTTTTTGATGCTGGCGGCACCGGGATATGAACCCGAGCCTTCCGAATGCCAGTATGCAATGCTAACCACTCCTCCGCTACCACGGCCGCCTTTACCCCTTGAGTTGGCAAATATCCATAAAATCCTCGAAAACGAAGAAACAACAACTACCAAGCAGTGAACCACCCTTGCGGGTTAGGGGCTAAAGAATTTACCCGCGGTAAGGCATGCCTGTCGTAAGAGGCGACTAAATCCAATAGTACCCGCGACAGTCGGGTCTTTATACCGGAACGACCCGGATTTTTATCCGGCCAAGGACTGTCACTCCCGCAATATTCCCCAAAAAGTACTTTGGGGAATAATTTTGCGGTTACAACAACCCTTCATGTTTCCGGCAGAGGTTTTCATTATGAGAAAAAACAGGTAGTGAGATCGGAACGGATATTCATTTGAAATACATCAAGCTCTAAATTGGCTTCCGTTCTTTAGAGAAAGTTGAAGGAAGGTTAATATACTCGTATTCATAATCAATTCGTTCTTGAGGCTCTGCACAACAAGACAGCAATTGAGTTGTTGCTCTGGGGTATTCCATGTGAGTTGCAGTTAGTAGAAAATTCTTTGAACGGTAGACGAATAACGGTAGATGAATAACAAATATGGTTACTGACTTAACTTTGCATAATGATATGGATCTGTTTGGTATTCTTAACGAATATTGATTTAGTTAATGTAAATGAAAGTTTTATTACACATAAACATCTGTATGTATGTATATACATATGTGTATTGTACTCACTTTTATTAAACATATCACAATCAGGTTGTTCACATGACAGTATGAGCAATTCCAGAATATTGGCATCACCCACAATAGCCGCCGTTCCAATAGCTGTGCGTCGAAAGCTAGTACACACCATGGTTGCCCTGGCACCCTCTATCAGGCAATTGAGCACTCCAAGATAGTTACGTGCCTGCACTTCGGCTATCAGCCGTTCGTTTAATCCAAGCGAGTTCATAGGTTAGTGTATTGCATATTCTTCCCACTGTGTTTTGCTTAAATCATTTGTTATTTAGTACGATTTTCATTTGGTTTATATGTACATATGTACATATATTTACGTAGTTTAGATTAATGTTATGAATAAAAAGCGAAAAACTTTAGAATGAAATACAATAGGCAAAATTAGAAGAAAAACTTAATATTCCCAGTTATCGACGTTTAGTCTTTGCTTAATGTCTTTGTGCCACACACTGTTCCACGTTGTTACGCCAAGTGTCACTGCTCTTGACACTTAAACCTGCAGTTGCGCGGTGAGAGCTTGGTTTTAGCAGGGATTAGTGCGAGGCAGTGCATTCAAAGAGGGTTGGAAAACAACTGATAAGGGTTGTGTTTCGGCTTTTAAATGGATAAACAGCGTGCAGATGGTGTGGAGTCTTTGTTATTGTTTACATTTCAAACACGCAATATGGAACACAGTAAGAGAAAAGAAATAATTGTAGGCATCTTCTATTCACGGTTGAGTTTGGAACTAATTGTTTATATTTCCGTTTCTGTTTTCAGTTTAAATACACACTTCGTGGACTAAATGCCCGCAGCTAAACCATATTGGCAGGCTCATTGTGCTCCCTATAAATTCCAGCTAGGTGTTTGCGGAAAAGTTGCAACAAAGTGGGAATTATATAATTGATTAAAGTTCTTTAAAAAGTTAAATAAAAAATGTATTGGATGATTGCATAATTTCGTGCCCGATTTCAAGTGCAAACTAAAATTGAAATTTTTTGAAGAAAGCGCTTTTATTAATCAATTATGTATTCGCCGTCATGTTCGGCAATCCACTCCCAACGTTCAACCAATTCACGGATGCCTGATTCATAGAAATCGCGTGGTTTCTCGATGAAAAAGGTGTCAAGGTGGTTTTTGACGTCTTCCACATTTTTAAATTTTTCTCCATTCAANTCACTAAGCAACTCAAATAAAAATGAAGTTATTTTATGCTTGATTTACAGTTCGGACTGTCACCTTTCCAACGATATATAATATGTATATATTTCTTTCACGAGCGCCACTCTCAAACGATTCGAACGGCATCTTAGTGGTACGTGCTATGTTGGAAGAGTTTCAAGACTTTAAGTGTTCCTCCACGATCCAATGTTTTAAATAACATTTGAAGACGCTGAAGGGTCTAAGGTAATTGATGGTGACCACATCGCCAGCGCGAGTTAGCTCGTCCGTCTTTTCTTTGCCTTCTACATCCGTGTGCTCGGGAACCCAAGTGATATTTACTGTGTTTTCCACGCGATAGTCTGATAATTGCTTCTTTGCATGTTGTAATGCGCTTGGACTTTGTGCTGACGCACTTCTTTGCCTTCATAGCCGTTTGACTATCTATCAGGAAAATGCCCGTTAGATTTTCCAGTCAAAATGGGACTACGCTTTTGGCACCTTCAGCCCCCAACCTCTGCTTGGTGTATATAGTTGTAGTCATTGAGTTTGAAGCTATCTTGGATATTGGCGTAGTCACAGAAAAACTATACTCTGGTGCCTGCCTCATATTTAGACCCATCGGAATAGATATATATATGGGATCGCCCTCCAACCATGCTTCTCTACAACGGAAGGACTAAGTGACCTCTAACCGGCAGAAGGTTACCGTTTCTCGGTAACATTTTACGTATAGTAAATTACTGCATGGCACCATATCCTTTACAATTTGTGAACTGAATCCAACTGTTAGGAACATTCAGGCGGCTAGTTATTTGAGCTGAAAAAAGAGCTTTATAACCGCCTTGTGCAGGTTCAAAATTCTCTTTATGAGTTTTCATGACACTCCATTTGCAAATGTTGTTGGTTTCGTTCCGGATTCCTAACATGTGTCCAGAATGATCGTTAGATACCAATCCAAAGTTATCACTTGCCTGCGTGAATTTTTTGGAACCTCTTGAAAACTTGCCGCGTTGACCCTTACAGATGTCTCTTCATTTTGCTCGGGGCTGCAATAGCCGAGTAGTGCACTAACATTCGGAGCGCCAGGGTTCAAGTTCTGGCCTTGGTCCAAACATCCAAAGCTTCAGAAAATTATTTTTTCTAAATGTGGTCGCCTCTCAGCAGAGAATGTCAATTTCTCCTAGTGCATTGTACTGACATGAAAATCGAAGCTTCTAATAAAAATCCAGCGGCCATTCGAAGGCAACTTAGGATACACTCTAGGTCTCCTCATTTGTCGGAAAACCTTTAAAACGCCTATTACAAATTGGAAGCCAAAAATCGTTTCACTGTCAATTATAATATATACGTGACCGTCAAGCTATCTTCGGCCGATCTCCACTTCCATTTTTTAGTTTTGCGTCTTGCTGTTTTTCCAAGAAATGGAAGGACCAACATTTTGTACCAAGCTGCCTCCGAACGGCTGACGATTTTTTTGTAAGGAGCTTTATATTTCATGCCACAAATAAACTCGGAGGGGTTGACATTTCCTGCCGTGGGGGGACCGAAATTAGAAAATTTTACCTTTGTACCCTGGTCTTCCGAGTAGTAGTATGTAATGCTAACCACTCGGCCATCGCGGCCGCCGAAAGATAATTATGTATATACATATATTATATATTCTCTCTCAATCTATGAAGACCAACGAAAACTGGAGTCCTTGTGAAAGTAAGGAGTTCAGAGCCACATCTGGTTTGTACAACGGGCGTCTTCTTAACTTTGTCTATAATATCTTAGTGACAAGTGATCAGTAGCTCACCATGGTGATGATAATAATGAGGACAATAATAATAAGTGATGGGAGTCCTTTCGCCCGAAGATTTGCCATCACTATCCTACACTAACAGTGTAGTTTATTAATGCTTTAAATACGAGTTATCGTCCACTTGTGGTAGTCAGAAAAAAAATTGTTTGAGGAAAAAATATACGCAAAAGTTTCGGATGAGGGACCCAATTTTTGCTGAAACCCTCCATCAAACAACTGCTACCTTAGCAATGTGGTTTCAAAGCTGTTAGATCCACCATCTCTCAGATATTTACCACGCGACAATTTATGGAAAACACCAAGAGAAAATCAGCGACACAAGAGAAAATCGTCGGTTATAAAGCTGTATTCGGTAGCACGAAGAGTAGCTGCCTCTACACCGCTATGTCTGAATTTTTCATCCCCGCAAAATCTCTCTGAGCTGCTCGCTACCCAACACAATTTCCGTTGTGCTTACTCGAATTTAATGCTGAAGAAAATGAGAAAAAAACGAGCGACAGAATTAAACCGAACTGCTGGCGCACCGTCAATTAGGCTCCCTCTAGATGGGACAAACAAGAGAATTGAATGCGTTCTCCTATCACCAAACAAATAGTCAATGCATTTGCATGCTCGCTCTCTCATCACTGTTGATAGTCAATAATAAAGTCAAGGGCTTGGACGGTGGCCACATCCAATGGGTCTACACTAGAAGTTTACGCCCGAAAGTTTTTACGGAAGATTTGGGGTGCTATGCACATTGGAAATGGCGAACACCGCAATAGATGTAACAATGAGCAGCACAAATTTATGGTATTGTAATATGGACACAGTTCAGCGAATGAGAAGACAGCGGCTACACTGGCTAAATCATGTCGGCCGAATAAATGAAATTTTCGACACCGCACCTAGCAGTGGAAGAAGACGTAGAACAAGGTGTCTACTCTGTTAAAATGATCAAATAGAGAACGATCACTTGATATTTCCGATTGGCGCCAAACAGCTAAAAGGAGAAACAATTGCCTTAAGCCAATTAAGAGGAAGATAGACACCCCTTAAGTGTTTAAATCCGGTTTAAAAACTTGGATTTTATCTGAAGTATGATAAGATAGTAAAAGGTGTCGTCTGGTGGTTCCTCTCCGCACAGCTGATGATTTTTTTTTATATATTATAATTTATTATTTTCATCTTCGAAATGCACGTGGATATGTGGACCTGGAGGGGTAACATTTTCTATAATTTTAGATTTTGGTGTGGTCAGAGCGCACAATAAATATCACAATATTCGACTTGTCAAGGTTCACGCCTAACCTTTCACTATTTATTGTGAGATATTTTCATAGTAATTTATTTATGTTTATATTATTTCTAACAAATACATAACTCATAGTACACACGAGGAGTATGCATAAGTAAAAGTCGATTATTTCTATGATTCTTTTATCAGTGATGTTTACTAGATTTTAACTTTCGATTGAATTGTAAACAATTTTTTTCGAAATCAAGATCCATCGCACAGCACTTCCAAGAACTCAACTGTACTTAAGCAGGTGCCTCTTCATTTCATGATAACATCGATAACAACAAAATATATTGTTTATTATATTATGTATGGCTGTGTATGTGTGTGTGTGTGTGGTCATCAAATTTTGTATCATTCAAAAAGTGTTTAAATAGTAATTCACCGAGGCTTTGAAACATTAAGCTGCCATAAGTTAAATAAATATGAACACTAGAATTATATTTACTCAAGCACTATTGTGCTGCACTTTGCTGTTTGTCGCCACATCAGCTGCACCGCTGGAGGAGTCTAAAATCGCTGTTCCTGAAATTGTCATCGATGCTACCGTTCAAAGCAAAGCACATATCGAAATTCCTGAGCGGGTGGCTAAGGATTTGTTGAAAGCTTTGTTGGAAGCATTACAAAATTCAAAGGTCTCTGGAGAAATCTCTGCACAAAATCACGTATCTACGCTGGGAGAGGAAAGCCTAAAGCAAATTGGTGGTTCACAAGGTCGCGCGGGCTGTGATGCGGGTTATTGTGGTATGTACTGCATATCATTGGGATTCCATGGCGGATATTGTACCATATACGGTGCCTGTGGTTGCGTTTAATGTGATGTGATATTAATTGTAATACAATGATTTGAGTATTTTTTATTAAAAGAAAATCGGGCAAATAGAGCTGTTGATTAAATATTAATTTCCATATCTGATACAATTTGTCGGAAGCGACTCTGTTTATTTGTATATGTGTGTGTATGGAGTTCAAAGTTTCGTTCTCTTAAATGCTTTTCTAACGGATTTTTGAAGCAAAACCTCATCTCTGCAAAAATCGGTTGTAGCGAGACTACACGGATATGATATAGTGCTCCGATTTCGATCATTTTTAGTACGAAATTTGTTGGTATATAATATGTAAGTATGCAGAATACCAAATTTCTCGCTCTGAGATGCTTTTTTGACAAATTTATGACCCAAAAAACTCAAATATGAAAAAAACGGTCATTTATACGAGAATCATATAGCGATCCGATCTGGCCGATTTCGACAAAAGATCGTTGTACTAAGTTTGAAATATTCCAAAACTTGAGGCATACAAACAAGCGGACCGAAATATAGACAGGCAGACGGACATACCGACAATTCAACTCGTTATACTGTTCAGATCGGTATACTGCATACTTCGGACTGAAGTCAATATATCATGTCATGTTCATGAAAGTTGTAAAATTCCCACTACCTTTCAAGGAAAAAAATCCGAATTCTTCGAAGTTAAAATAATCTTTTCTCAGCTAAGCTACGAGTATGTATGTATATAGCAGATCTACGTAATTGGCTTGAGAGGAAGAAACAGCATCGAGAAATTAGCGTCGAATGTTATACTCGTAGCTATTTAAGAGGATATGGTAGCCGCATATGAGGGCACTGTCAATTACCGCCACAAATTTTGCACAGCAACGCTTACTCTACAGTGTCACCTATCGGACTGTGATGAATGTGATACTAATCCAACAACCGTGAGTTGTAAACTCAAGTGTGTGCGACTTGGCGTCCCCCGGATCAGAGTTAAATTTTTTTTATTATTCCCCATTACCTTAAGGGCGGCTGTCATAGTTCATGAGGGCTGTTCCACGCATGAAACCACATTTTATCGGCAGATATCTCTTAGACGCAAAGAGAGCTTTCAAGAACATTTAAGCAGATGTCAATAATAGGTGAATTGATTAGTCAAGGAAATAAGGTTGATTTAAGTCTCAGATCTTTGTTGGATGACCTAAGCTGGGTGAAAAAATAAACGCGCACTTTATAGGAGAGCTCCAAGGTCTGCATTATCGGGCCAAATTAAATGAAACTATTTTGAAAAATAAATTTTTTTCTTCTCAGCTATTGATAAAAACTTTAAGTCGCTAATTCCTGGTGGAAATAACCGCTATTAACCGCTGTGGTGTGTTCCAGATACAGATTTTTCCTTTCGTGGATACTATGAAACATATGGGGTTCGAATTCTAGGGAAGATTTATCTTTATTTTCAGACTCTCCTACGACCAATACAATATTCGTGTTAGTGAAGATGGCTGGGTAAAATATATCATATTTGGATTCCCGGTTAGAATTCGCTGATTTCACTATACAAAAAGCAGATTCGCATGGAGAAAGAGAAAAAGGAGACAGTGAAAGTTATGTACCATGCGACCACCATTCATTCAGAAAAAGCAGATCTCGTAATTTGAAGTCACTTTTCAAGATATCTTAGCTCGAATGACACATTAGGGATTCCAAGTATATTCGGAAAGAGATAGAATTCATGAATAGTTATGAAAGCAAAGGTCTAAAAGTCGGTTTAGCTGGTATTGTTTATAGATTTAGCACAAAACTTGAACTCAACCAGCTATTGCCTAGTTTGTCTTAACAGCTTGGAACAGATATCAGTCATGTAACTTCTTATAAATAGCTCTGTTCGGGGAGGAATATCAGTGAGAATTGGCCAGTTTCGAAATATCAAAATTGCGCTCTCGCGTTCCAAATTATACTGGCATTTTGCCACACCGAACGAAAGAACGGTTCAGTAAAAAATTGGCAACAATTGTTACTCCCCATCAGCTAACCGAAGAGGGTTAATATAAACTTGGAGTACCTCTTGAAATTAGTAAAGCAATTAATTTTTACAACCCTATACGCCGCACTTCAGACGCCTTCAAGTATTTATATATGTATATAATGGCTATAGACAGTAGTGAATTTGTCAGTTTGCCTTTTGTATTGTTTTGGTGTTAACATGAAGACCATTTTTTCTTTTGTATTGTGGAGCTTCCTGCTGCTCTGCTGGACATTTGCCCTTCCAATCAATGATTCCGGAATTGTATCTACATCAGACCAGCAGCTGGATGTTAACCAAGTCTATTCTAGTAAGGACAATACAATAGATACACCAAATCAGTTCACCGATGACAACGTAAAGTCCGAGTTGCTTGTGAATGATGTAATTCGGGCTATTTTTGACGCACATCAGAATGGAAAATTTTCAAATAAAATTAGGCTCCTTAGTAAGCAAGCTCGCGCCATTTGTTATGAAATAAATTGTAATTTTATGTGCACTAAAGCCGGTTTTAGTCGCGGTCATTGTAACTTGTATTCAAAATGTGTATGCTATAGATAAACTTTATCAAATCATCTGAACATTTTTGTATTATTTATGATATGTTGTAAATTTTATTCATTCGCTTTTTTCTTTGAGGGGAAGGATGTCTACGTATCCAGACGACAATATGGAAGGTCAGCCATTGTCTGGTGTAGAGATAAATATTTTTTTTATAAGGATCTAAGATACAGTTTACATATTTCCAAGCAATTCCTTTACTCTTCAATTATCCACACTTTGATCCGTCGTTTACGGTGTTGGGAAATAGGGAACCATTATCCTCCCAACTTCGGCATAACATTACTCATTATATAAGTTCTTCTTTAAATCTTACCGAAGATCTCTCAGTCTGTCAGAGATCCTTTTCTTTGATTTGATTTCGAGTGTTTTTGATGCTGTAATAATCCAGCTGATTAATTGATTTTCTCTGTGCAGGAATGGAGCCGGAAATAAGTTAAGTTCGAAAACGGTCCATACGTTCCGACATAATTAATTATAAGGAATATAAAATAAATATATAATATAAATAATAAATATATTATATAAAATATTTCAAAAAGTGGCATAAAGACGCGAAAATCATTGAGGCTTCCGAATTTAAGTCGCTGAAAATATAAGATCCGAATAACCTTATACCCAACTTTGGTAATAAGTGAGAGCCACATGTAATATTGCCAAAAAAAAAATGTCTTTACTCAGGCGATTGTATTCCACTAAATTGGGTAGCACTGCTGTTTGGGAGTAAAAGATAACAACAGCCAAGATAACAACGTATAGATTCAATTCTTCAATTCTCTCTTTTCTTTTGACATAAAAATGGCAAACCGTGGTGGTAATCGTAATCGTCCAGAAGAAGTGGATAATACCATTAATTACGTACAATGTGACGGCCTGGTAAGTGAAATTGGACAGAATAATATAATATCTACAATATTTAAATGGAATATAACCGGGTACCTTAAAAATATGTCCGAAAACATTGCGAGAAAACCAAGCAACCTTCCGAAATTTTACACGTTTGCTTTCTGCAGGCGGTGACAGCGCATTGTAGCGTTGCCAATAATTTTTATATATTTTGTTTTGATTCAATTTTGCATCGAATGGCTTATGAATGTCGGTCAATCTTCTAATTTTAGGCTGTGATGAAAATGGTAAAACATTGCCATGAAGAGTCTAGCAACATGGATTTGGCGCAAGGAGCCCTTCTCGGTTTGGTAGTTGACAAATGTCTAGAGATTACCAACTGTTTCCCCTTCCCCAAAAGTGGTGATGAAACAATGGATGAGGAAATGTATCAATTAACAATGATGCGTCGCTTGAGACGTGTGAACGTTGATCATTTCCACGTTGGCTGGTATCAGAGTTCTGATGTAGGAAATTTCTTATCAATGGCTTTGCTCGAATCGCAGTACCATTATCAGACTAGCATCGAGGAATCTGTAGTTGTCATTTACGACACGCAAAAATCTGGCCGTGGATTCCTATGTTTGAAAGCCTATCGATTAACTCCACAAGCCATTCAAATGTATAAAGATGGAGATTTTACACCGGAAGCACTTCGCAATTTAAAGGTTGGCTATGAGAGCCTCTTCGTTGAGATACCAATAGTTATTAAAAATTCCCCACTTACCAATATAATGATGAGTGAATTGAGTGAAATGTTGCCGGAAGAGCAAGGACAAAACTTCTTAGACTTGGGTACAGCTTCGGTTTTGGAAAATCACATGCGTTGCCTAATCGAACGAGTGGACGAACTTTATCAGGAATCGATACGTTACAACAAGTACCAACAAATAGTGTTCAAGCAAGAAACTGTAAGTATATTTTTATTCATCTGTCTTAGAAAATATTATGCGCTACACAAAATATTATTATTATTAATTTTATTTTATAGGAGAAGCACCGCGCTTTAGCTAAACAGGCTGCCGAAAATGTTTCGCGAAATGCTAAAGGTGAATCACCTATTCCGGAGGAGGAAGTGCTTAGGCAGTTCCGTCCACTGCCTGTACCACCTAGGCTTAATGCAACCATTACTTCTGGACAAATCAACACCTATTCACAGCATATTTCACAATTTTGCTCGCAGTCATTGGCCAAACTTTTTATTACACAATCTTTACAAAACGCTAAGGAAGCTAAGGACACCAAATAGGTTCTTCGATATCTTGAGCAACTAATTTTTTAATACCATTGGCGTTTGTTTACGACGAACTCGCTTTACAAATCAGTAGTTTAATATCAAAAAAATTGTAAACTTGTTTATAATAGTACGCGAAGTTTTAACAATTATATATTAATTGTCGAACAAAAGCCGACTTAATTGGGTTTGAATTATGAATGCTCGTTTAAAGATTCCGCAAGGTTAACCGCATGGCTTTCAAGGCATTCGGTGTTACCTCCCCTACCTAACCTTAGGTTATCCTTGTGTTAGAGTCTACAGGAACTCAAATTATTCGTAACCGTATACCAGGTCTTATCGAAACCTCTGAATAAAATAGTTTCTATGATAGATTTCCCTGGTGAATTGAAGCAGATATGACTGAAACTCTTATCAGGAACGATGTACTTGATTAGCCTATAGTAACAGAGGGTAACATAGATCCTTCTTGCACTGAAGACGACAGGCTTGAATTGTCTAAGTGCTTTATTTATTCGAGATCGGCACTGAAACTCCTAACGTATATATGCCCTACATGTCACGAGGCGTCGCTTGATGCTAGTCATCTCTTTATATAGCACCTTAAATCATGAAAATCATAACACTTGGCAGCACTTACATATCGGCTTTCCAATTGCGTGGCATCTCTATCATCAAAACAGCTGATTTATTAACACAGAAAGCGCGACGCTAGAAAAGTTGATTTTTTTACTGTTTTGTTGCATATGATTTTTGAATTGTTTTCAAATTTACTGTAAAGTAAAATGAATGAGGAAGAGTTTCTTTTTTGTCCTTATGACAAATCACATCGTATAATACGCTTTCGTATGCCGGCACATATGCTGAAATGCCGAAAAAATTATCGAGGACCCCCATTGGAACAATGTATTTACAATGCAACTCATTTGGTGCCTTCTGGAACAATGGCAGCCCATTTGGAGGTATGTCAGGATTACTGTCAATTTCATAATACTCACTTCGAGAAGTTGGCGGAAAGTTGCAGGCCACGTGACTAAAAGTTAGCAATATATTTAGAGGTCCTAGACGAGGCGTTCGCAAAGAACCGAATGAATTTTGATTTTATTTTATATAAATAACTATGGTTGAATATAATAAAGTGATATTTAAATACGAAATAGATTTACACGTTAAAACTTTTTATATGAATTATAATAAACAAGTTTTGGTGAACTATGTTCAATTAAATTGTTTTATTAAGTTTATGCAAATGTTAATTGGTTAAATGTGTATGTAAGTCTTATAAAATTGTATTCAATTTTCATAAAAATACTTTTAGATACAATTTTTTACTTAAATGGATTTACCTTAAATTATATATCAGCCTAAGATTTTTAAATAAAATTTATGAAATATATTTCCAAAAGAGCACATCCAGCAAGTACAACGTTATTACTGATTCAAGAAAATACGTCGTTCTTTGTCATAATAAAGTTTTATATACAAAGATATTTTTTGTCAATATCTTGCCTCATTAATTGCACTTCCAGCAAAAGTACATATATAAAAGTATTATGGTATCACTGGTCAATTGGCGGCTTAAGCCAGTTTATTCAAGTATCATAGGAATGGTGTGTGTTTTTTTTTAATATATTCGTTACACCATGTCCATTTCAAGGTCTGTGTCATTATCTGAGTCAAGCAATTTTCGTTTATCTTGTCTTGTCTCACCCATTGTATTCAATGGTCGTACCTTACCCGTATTTACCACAGGACTCTGTGAGTACAGGTATATAGCAAACGAGACTACAGCTATAGCCAATGCAGTATTAATATAAATAGGTATCGCGAAGAGAAAATAACAGAGTACAGCTGTAAACATTAACTCTAAGGCGCTGGCGAAAGTTTTCACAATAGAGTTCATATATTTCAAAAAGAAACTCGTAACAATGCCGATTGCCGCATTATTCACTATAATAATAATTACATTAAATCGCCAAATGGCTCGTAGACTCTCCGCCGTAAAAGCGCCAACCAATTGACCATTTACCAAGAGTATCAAGACATTGCATACAATGGAATCGATATACATAAAGACGTTCTGTACAAATATGTTCACATCAGCACCTTTATCCTTCAATAGGTATTCGTTATAAACACCTGCCAAGCAGGAAAATATTGTTTGTGCCAATATGAGCAGAGCACTTAGACTCAGATCGAATCCAGTCATATTTTTTCCGCTCACTTTTGATGTGTTTTCAGTATCAGTTTTATTTAAAGTCACTTGTTGTACAGCTACGGCTTCGCTATCGTCATTAGTATCGCCATATAAACTATTTATGTTGATTTGTTTTAACATACAACCAAACGTTAGCAGCAAAAGTGAAATCCATTGACGCCGTGTAAGGTATTTCTTAAAAATTATCTGCAAATAAAATAATAAAAGTGAGAAACTTAAAAAATATTCACAAATAATTATATAATAATAATAAATAAATAAAAGCAACTCAGCCGATGGATTGTGCTGTTAAGTTGTAGGGGAAAATAATAATTATTTTTTATTACAAAGTCTAAGCTTTTAGTAAACATGTTAACTACAAATTGCAAAGATAACGTTTTGCTTATATTCATCTGGGGAATGCTATACGTTAAATTAACTTATTTTAGAATATTTCTTAAAATGTTCATATATTACATATATATAAGAATAAAAATATAATAAAAATCTCATTTAATCAGATTTTCTCACACACTGTTACTTAATATTATTCCCAACGGTTTACCCATTTCCCGCCCATCCGTACGAGGAACATGAAAAGCATGAATTTGCTGAGTCAAAAACTAAAGAAGTTCAGCTAGAGAACAAAAATTCATCACCTGATTTTAAAAAGTAACTAGTAATATAAAAAGGTGCTAATAATTAATTGGGAATCGACATAGTTGTTTTTTTTTTTATTATGAAAGAAGGAAAGAATTAGCCTTGACGAATTTGAGAGTACATTCTTTAAGCCAAGTTTCAGTAAAATCATCTACATCATAATTGTATTCAAGACTATTAAGTACTAAATTAGTTAATTTAGTTTTAAAATTTTTAATATTTAGTAGCCTCTTACGGCAGATATTCCCTACCGCGTGTAAGACCCTAACCCTTAACCCGTAGGGTATGAATTTGCCAGTAGCGAACGCGGCTCAGTAAAATTCAGTATCAATTGTTATTGCCCATCAGCTCACCGAACAGAACTGATATCACTGTGTCTCTGTATTAGGACAATTAACAAACAGAATGCTAACATCTGTGATAACAAATATAAATAAAAACAGAATAGAAAAAAAAAAACAAAATGCACAAGAACATAAATATTGCAAAAAAAAAAAAAATAAATAACCATTGATTCAGCAGACATTTAAGTAAATAATATGCAAGCGAAGAAACGTTTAAAATTATTATAAAATATCAGAATTTGAAACAAAACTTAGCTTTAAATGCTTCTAAAAATATTCACAAATACTTTAAAACGCGTATTCTTATTACCAAATTATTATAGAGCACAATAGAAACTCAGCTTCACATCATGAATGTATAATTTAAATTTCCTTTACATAAAATACAAATACGAAAAATTTTTTATTTTTATTAAATACAAGTACTTATTATCAAGATCTAAGCGTGGTCATCTATCATAAATTTGTAAGATTGACGTTTAAGTTAATTGCGAGCGATAAACTGCCTAGTAATATGTATTTTCTTTTTCTTATAATGCTATATTGCGACTATGATCATGGGTTTATTACCAATCAATTTTCCAGTTATATATCATTTATGCTTACCTGAAATAGTATGCCAGTTATAACAACACGTAGTTGCAATAGAAGATAATATGTAGTGGGATCGAACGTAGACAAATTAACAAATGCCAAATTATTGTAGAGACAGTAGAGAAATGCGGGCACAAAATATAACATCATTACATTTGAATCTTTTCGCACATCGCGTAGCAAACTAATTAAGTTTTGCCTGTGTTTCAGAAAAACAGATACATAGATAGGTATTATTTAGAATATATATTTTTAATGTTGTGTATTTGCATTTACGTACTCTCTGCAATAAAGACTTGCTGATACTATAAGTTTTAATATTTCGGTGAGCAGTACTACGGTGATTGTGTTGTAGCTATAGGAGTTATTGGATTCCTGTGAAGCCGTTACAAAAATTCCTGAAATGTAACATTAGTTACACGTATGTACATAGACAAAGAAATTTCAAACCGATTAAGTTTATTATGATTTTATGTACCTTGGCCTATAAATAACGATATATAAAGCAGAAATATGACGAATGTGAGCTTTGTAGGGAATAATTCGCGCCAGTTTATACCCATTTTGTTTATTAACTGATATAGAAGGTCTCACATGTAAGTCAAGTCGTTATATAGCGCTGGTCGACCCTTTTATCTAAAGTAAAAACAAAAACAATCAACTTCCGCTGTATTACGATATCTACGACTATACAACGTACTATTCGTACGTGGTAGCAGGCGCTTCGTAAATGAAGCCGTTCACTCGGTCGTTTTATTTACTAATAACATTTCTTTCTCCCTTACTTTTCTAATTTTTTAAATAGTTAATTGGAAAATTTCTCAAGGTTGTAAATTCTATGATAGACAATAAATAAATTATCAAAATTAAATGCAAACAGCTGTTTGTAAGCAGTGCTGACAAGTTTTAAAATGTGTGTGGGAGTAGGATTGCCATGGCATAAAAAAATAAATAGAAATGAATGTTCCAATTTTTCAGTTACAAGCACTATGATTTTCAAATTTTCAGGTTGCTTTAAATTTACACTTATACAAAATGCCAATTGTCCGACAATTATTGCAAACCAAATAATTTATTGTTTATAAATTACATCGTATTAGGAATATTTTAATTATTTACTGGCCAATTTTCTTGCACAATTCTTTAGTATACGCAATATACAGTTATAACTCACCGTGGTCTATTTGGTATATAATCTGAGTTTGACTCAGGCCCGAAAGCCCAATGGATAGTATTGCGTACTAACATTTGGAAGGCCGAGATGCGAGTACTGGTCCGACGAACATTTAAAAAATATAGAAAATTAATTTAAATTAAAAATTAATGTTTCTGATTGCGGACGGCCTTCGGCAGGTAATGGCAAGCCCCACAAGTGTACTTTACACATGTCATATAAGCACGTAATTCAAATAGAGGACACCATTCAGATATACGTACAACAACCGCAGGACAGGACGGCGTACAGACGAGCACTGAACGCCATTCCCCAGGATTCAGTCAACACCTTCAATGCTTGCATGCTTGGGTAAAAATACCACCGATTGCAGACAACGAGCTCGAACTGCCTCGAGAGACCCCAGTGACTTTGGCACAATTTAGGTCTGGATACTGTAGCAGGTTAAACTCCTACCTATCCAGACTCTACTCCAGCATTTAGAGTCTCCGCATGACACTAACCACTTCATCAAATGCTCCCTTAAGCCGACACATCTAACCCTGCTCTCTCTCTGGTCCAATACTGTCGAAACAGCACGTTTCCTGGACCTCCCATTAGATGACCTCGCCGACTTTGATTGATTAAATCTGTCCATAAGCGGTGCTAGTGAGCCGCTACAACAACCACAACGGATGATTCATGATTCGAATACCGTAGGCGATGAAACGATGTAACAAGATATATGACGAGATTGAGATGAAATATGTCACGGAAAAATCAAGTATTCGTTGCAGTATCCGGTGGAAGGATTAATTGACGGTTGACTTGGTGGCTTCAATTGGGACGACGATACGACTGACACCCTATTAATTCGGTAACAATAGCATAAGCGGTGCCAACGCAAAAGAAGAAGAAGAAAGGGATATGCAAAAGCCCAGGTGACTTTCGTTGAATTGTCGCCAAGCCAAGATTGATCAAATGTCAAAGTTTGTTCTCCGTCTTCTTCGATTATTGTGGCGTAGCGCAAGATAAGTTCTAATTATAAGATCGCGCATTTATATATATAGCGCATTGTAACCGCTGAAGCGATTTTCCGCTGAGCTCCTCCTCCAATTTGTGGTTTTGCGTTTTGCTGTTTTTCCAACAAATGGAGGGACCTACAGTTTATACTAAACCGCCTCCGAACGGCTGATAGTTTTTTTTTTGAGATAAATGTCAGAAACACACTCGGAGAGGTTGACATTCCCTGCCGAGGGGCGACCGCAATTAGAAGATTTAGCTTAATTTTTTATCTAAATCATTTCCTATGACTTTTGGATGTTGGTCGCACGACGATTTGAACCCGAGCCTTCCGAATGGCAGTATGCAATGCTAAGCATTCGGCTACCGCGGCTGCCAGTTAATTAAGGGTATATTAGTTTGAGGTTATGTTCGGTTGAATGAAGTAATAGTACGTAAACGTCCAAAATTTTGGGAAAATAATTCATGGGTCTTGCATGAGTATAATGCACCGCCTGATTCCTTATTGCTTGTTTACATATTTTAACGGATCTACGAAATATACTGCAATGAGATATTTTCCTTCTGGGTAGTCCTGTGTGTAATTTCCTCCAAGGATGTGCACATCCTCTTGCCAATGCTTTAACATGTTATTCTCGTTTTCCAAAGTCTGTCTTCCCTGACTCCCTCTTAGCACGGGTAGAGTATGTATGTAAACACGCATGGTTTTCGTTTCCGTTCTTGGAAGATGTCAAAGCTTGAATCTCGCACTCATCGAATTACACGAAGGTGACATGTGATTATCACAATTAAATTCAACGGTAAGTATATGTTAGAAATTCCTTAATCACTGCCAAATGGCGATGTAAAAATTTAATACATTCTACGTGTCATAACAACGCCTAACGGAAGTGAGTTGCCGTATGAGTACGAATCACTGTGCAGACGTGATTATCATAATTAAATTTAATTAAGAAGTTGCGTGTTTGCATGTTCGTGGTAATATGACTCTTACAAAATGAAGCTTCAACAGTTTGACTCGTAGGTTCGTTGATTGAAAACGGTGGTTGGAGACCTAATATTTTCCTTAAGCAAGTTCCTTAGGACTCAGCTGACTTCACTTGGGTTTTACGTTTCTTAGTCGACTGATTGTGTCGACCTGGGAAAGTTTCTCAACCCAACTTCCTCTTTGCCGCCCGTTAGTTTTTGACGAGCTTGGCTACTTTTGTATCGGCTTGCTCAACTCAGCGTATGTGAAGCCGCCTGGCAGTATGTCCAAATCAAGTCTGGTCGGTAGGTGTGCAGTCGACTGCAATAATCGAGTGGTTAGCATTGCATACTGGCATTTGGAGGGCTACGGTTTAAGTCCTCGCTTAACCAAACATCTAAAATTATAAGAAATGTCAAGCCTACCGAGTGTGTTTATGACATGAAATAAACGCTTCTTCCTGTAGGCCTCTATATTTGTTGGAAAAAACATCAAGAAGCAAAACCACAAATCGGAGGAGGAGTTAGTCTGAAAATCGTGCCGGTATTACGAAGCAGTTCGAGATTTTAGTCTCCTAATGGTGGTGGTGGGATCTCCTTCACCCGAAGTGAGTTGAGAATGGTGATGAACTCCCTGTGAATGGCGTTTTAGAGTTGCCGGTAGGTCATTCTGTCCAGAAGTTCTGTTAAGTGGTTCTGAATGGAGTTCAGTGCCAGTTATCGTGCAGTACAGAAGTGGATATGGTCGGAGAGATAGCTGTTTACCTTAGAAATTAGCTACTAGGTAGATTAATTGGCCGATATGATTCTCCTTTGTCGACTGGTTTCCATGGTTTTATTGTGGCAGCGGGAGCACTCGTTTGATCGTTGTCCGAGAAAGAATAAGAATTTCGATGAGAAATTCTTCCTCTCTAGACTTTGATGTTTTCCCGTCATCACGCTTCTACCGTCGGGTCCGATAGATTTGGAGGCCGATAATCCCTTGAATCTCTTCGGTGTCGCGCTGATGTTTGGCAGTTTTCGGCCACTTTCAGATAAATTTTTTTTAACCAAAGAAGACAATGTAAAAGGTCTGCTAAATGATATATATAATTACACTTTGTAAACGCTGAAGCGATTTTCGGCCGAGCTCCTCCTCTCTATTATTTTCCAACAAATGGAGAGACGTACAGTTTATAACAAGCCGCCTCCGAAGGGCTGATGCTGTTTTTATGAGGAGTTTTATTATTTCATGTCAGAAATACATGCGGGGCGTTGACGTGCCCTGCCTAATGGCGACTTATTTTTTTTTATTTAAATTAATTTTCTATAAATTTTTGGATGTTTGTACGACACCAGGATTTGAACACGAGCCTTTTGAGTGGCAGTACGCAGTGTTAACACCTTGGCTATTACGACCGTCTGTTAAATTAGCTTGCGTACTTCTTCGGGTCCAACGAAGCACGGCCACCGAATGAAACTCCCACCTGGTCGTCGTGTCTGCTTGGGTTTCACAATAAAATTGCTGATGGACCAATGTTTGATTCGCCAGAGGAGCGGTCGCAGGACTGTTAGCGCCTTTCCCCTTGCTCCGTATGACTCATCTGAAAGCGTGAGGACGGCTGACAGCAGATTTACGCTATCGTGGGTTCAGTTAAGAGTGCAATAGTGAATGATTACTTTTTTTTTAGGTTGTAGCAAGGATTAGAAAGGGTAATTTGTATCTGACGACGTTGTCGGTTATTATAATAAAACGAAAAGTAACGGTAATTGAATTTACTGAGTCTGAATAGTGAATATTCCTTAAGCGAATCCACAGGGAAATTTGAGCAAGCAGCAATATCAAATTTAATTAATGCATCCCCCAAACAACCCTTACAGCGTTTCACCCATTTCCTCCTCCTCTTCTTCGGCGGAATAAGTGGCAGAACTAGTGCAGAGAGCGTGAGAAGCTATGCAGTATATCGGCCTTCAATGGAGAGCATTTAGAGGATGGCAACATGTAAATTAAGAGTAAGCAAAGCAAAGAAACTTAAATTACAAATTGAGGATGCGCGAGTATTATATATTGTGTTAAGCGCCCGTGTATAATACTCTTTGTATGTACTCGTATGTATGCATCTAAGTGGCCGCATTAGCTGTATGGCTTGCAGTGCGTGCTAACGTGCGGAGCATGTCATGAGTTCGAAATCTAGCCAGCCCAATTTGCAAAATTATAAAAAGATGGTGGGGTGACCCCTCGGCAGCTCCCAGTGTAAATATTTTGAATCCTTAATATGTGTGTATATTTAGGTCTAATGGAATGGTTACATGGCAGTAGAGGTTGAATCAATTAATTACTACTACTACGGTTGAGGTGTGTGTGAAAAGTGTTTGAGTTCAAGGTTTGCCTTTATGCTTTAAAAATAATTTCTGGGAACTGACCGCCGCGGCTGGGTCGAATGAATTCCAGCAGAGAAGGCCAGTTTTCGATTAATTTTTGAACAGTTATTCTCCTCCAAGGCGTCAATCGTTTCTGGCTTATACGCATAGTCAAGCGACTTCACATAACAACACAAAAAACTATGCAGCGGTTTTAAATTTCACGATCTTGGAGGCCACGCCAGATGCCAACAATACAGATTCCTGCGTTCTCCTTCAATAAATTGATTGTTTCGTAAGCTGTTCGCATGTAGCCGTTGGGACCATTCATTGACCAATTTTTAACAAATATGCACTAATGATTACAAATAAACCAAAAAACTAACTTT